ATATTCGAACAATGCTTAGAAGACATTCTTTATCGAATACTAGTAAATTATCAAAATTCCCAATTTTAATAAGTCACGTCCTATGTTGATAAAGTAAGACAAAGCGAACTAGTTCGCATTTAATTCGTTCTTTAGTTGCCAAACAGAATTCTCTCTTAGATTACAAGTGACGAAATTTTACAAAACTCAGCTAGGCTTCCCGAAATCTTGTCAGACGACAGTTCAATAGAACTGGTGAGGCTTTCAAAATAAATCAAGTCGTTGAGACATTCAACTACTTCGCTTCATATCCTAAAATGGATGGACTGACGCAGATCTTTTCTGGAGCAGGAGTTTGCATTTAGTTGAAGGAAATCTTACCCTAAACTTTGTTTCTTAAGGCCGTTAGAAAAATGTTTTCATTGTCTTCAGGCAAAGAAAGAGTTTATGTTTACGAAAGTGTTAAATAAAAATCGACAGATTGGATAACCTCAACTAACACTTATTGAAATTAACAGTTCTTCATATGATCTGACCTAACCAGTAGTTTTTGTGTAGAGAGCCTGTACAAAGTTAATGTATTTCTATAGTATACCGTTTAATGATAAACACTCCTATAATATTTGTTGATCAACAATTGATTTGATCGCAAATTTTTGTATTTCTCCGTTGTTCATATTAATAAGTATAGCTGATTAATATTTGTTGTAGTGTGTACATTCTGGTGAGATTGCCTCAATACTAGATTATGGTGTAGCAATATAATCGATAAATGTTTTACTGTCCTATTTGTAGCTCTTCAGCTATATGTATTTTTATCTTACCATCGGTATCCATATTGAATTTCGAGCTCAATACTTATTTCTGTAAACACCAACTCCTTACTCACTAAGTTGTGGAGTTCACATAAACACTAAATTATTTAACTGTCAATCACAATATAACTTGACCGGAATTTATGAATAATTAACAATAATTTAGTGATCCACTCAGGATGAACATTATTCCATTGAAACTGATTTGTTGTGATTAACAACGGAAAAATACAAATAGCTTCATACTTATTAGACAACTTGATAGACACCTTAACATAGTAGGTTACTGGATAACATGGCATTCGAAGTAATAATTACTAGGTTTCAATCCCAGTTTGAACATGAACTTTGGGCTGCAATTACATTTGACGGATAAGTCTCAAACAAAACTAAATTCACAGCTTAGATTCAACTGCTTACCATGATCTGAATTTAATAAATAATTGATTTATGTTCATTTGGTGTTGTTTTTACTTTTATCTTCACATTGTTATTTAGAAATGCAATTGATCAGTCTCTTGTTGGCATATGTACATCCTGTGCAGATGCCTCGATATAGCCTTAAGTCATAAACGTTTTGAGCAAAGATGGATAGTGGCTAGCAGTGGAATCCAGGACGCACGTTTCGTCCTATTCGGGACTCATCAGCCGGATGTAGCTGCACCCGAGTTGATGCTCATCCCGGGACTCAAACCTAGTACCGTTCGCCTCAAACGCCACCACGTTATCCACTTAGCTACTGAGTCCTGATAACCATTTGCTTGTGCAATGGGGTGAAGTTTAAATTTACTTGGTGTTGTTTTACTTGTATCTTCCCATTGTTATTTAGGACTGCAAGTGAATTTAAGCTTCACCCCATTGCACAAGCAAGTGGTTAACAGGACTCAGTAGCTAAGTGGATAACGTGGTGGCGTTTGAAGCGAACGGTACTGGGTTCGAGTCTCGGAGTGAACATCAACTCTGGGATGCTGGATCCCACTGCTAGCCACTATCCATCTTTGCTAAATTGACTTACCGTTATAAGACATAGATTGTAACCGAATGTAATTATTGTCACGCTATAACAATTCAAAGAAACATTTTATTTTATGCAGGAATTTCTTACTTTACCCGTAATAAAAATAAAACCATGATTGTTCTTATGTGATGTATGTTACTGATGTCGACAGATATAAATAGTATGTATTATCAATCGAAAGTGAAATACCTAGAGGTAGAAGGTTAAGGAAATCGAAGAAACGAGAACAGCGAAAAATTGGTGTGGAAACAAAGAAACAATCAAACCTGAGGCTATTGATTGACATTATGCAAATGAAGTATTTACTGTATGGTTCTCTGATATTACTAAGTGATTCTGTGATTTTGAGTCCAAACACATTCGGTTGCCCTTACTGGTGTTCTCGTTTACTACACTTCAATAGGTCATTTCACCTTTAAGATATTTTAAAAATGTATGGTCAAAGATGTTAATAATATGTTATAGCATAAATTGTTTAGCCTTTGTTTCGATTTTATATCCAAGTTTGAGTTAAAAGCAACCAGAAGTGTGTTTAACAACAATTTGAGTCAAGATTTGAAACTAAGAATTTATCGATCTTACTGTAGGACCTATAAATCCCATGTTTGATCGAATATGAAGTCTTGAGTGCACATTACTAGGAGGTCTCATCTGTTAACGGCATCTCTTATCACTGAAACTAGGTTTCCGAATTGTTTTCCAGCTGATATCAGTTCATTGTGACAAATTACTTCAAATTCAACCCTCAACCTTGATTATTCAGTACTTTAAGCCAAGTGGTTTATTATTGTTAAAGCCTTCTTTAATATGTAGAATTAAAAGTATCGATAAAACATTAAAATTGATGGAACATAGGTTTTCATATAATAAGGAAGAATCAAGTCTAACAGCTATGATTTATCAGTTTACGGGTTGTGGAGATTGTGAAGATTTTGATTAAGATCATGAACCGATTGATGTTAGACCACCATTGAAAACCTGGAAGCACTGGACAGCCGTTTCGTCCTATTGTGGGACTCCTCAAAATAGAACCAAATGGCCGTCCAGTGCTTTCAGGTTTTCCATGGTGGTCTAGATATAAGTGACTAATGCATTTAAATTTGATATCAGTTGTAATTATTAATATTGATCATAATTAATGATCCAATCATAAAGTTAAATATTACGTTTATTAACAAAATAAATGTTGTGACAAACATAAAAGGTTATTGATGTGAATCTTTTGAAGTCAAGTATATTAAAATGGAGAGAATTTCATGAACGAATGAGATTTGGATTGTTGAAATGTGAACAGATAGACTACTAACTGACGAATGAATCGCAATGATACGACTTGGTTAAGTGATGGGTGTTCATGAGATTGTATTATTAAATCAAATCCCGAAGGATTTAATATCAAAAACAAGATCGTTTGCTGGAGGAATATGTCTTGTAGATTATAAAATAACATACTTGTATACAAACTATCAATAAATGGGGTAAGTGATTGGAGGATATCAGGTTTGTTGACTACTTGCTTCCCAATGAATTAAACCATAACTTTTTGATTGAAATCATAAACCGATTGATGTTAGACCACCACTGAAAACCTGGAAGCACTGGACGGCCGTTTCGTCCTAGTATGAGACTCCTCAGCAGTGCGCATCCACAATCCCTCTCACGAGATTCAAACCCGAAATCTGTTGATCTCGCACGCGAACGCGAGTTAGGGTTTAAACACTTACTGTAAGTGAGAAATATTCACAGTTGGTTCTATGCAAAACTTTTGTTTAAACATCAGTTTTTTTTGTTCAAGATGTTAATAACAGTGTTAATCACAAGATATCAATTTATATTTGATAGGATTACAATTCCAACTGTTAAGATACTTTTATTTGAATAAAACTCAATTAAGTAATTTATTAACCTGTCTAGTTCGAATTTATGAAGTGGAGTTCTTGGAGGTAATCGATGAAGAACCCCGCGACTAGATGTCATGTCAGTTGAAACTCATTTATTAATGCTCACATGTAGTTTTCAGGGCACTGAAGTTCCTATTGATTTAAATTCATAATACTAAGATACACAGTTCAAGGAATTATGATTGAATTATTCGGTCCGTTACTCCCCTCATGAAAGACCGAGATATTTACATTGATTGGTCAATGAGTATCGATTACGGATTGTCTTAAGTTAAGTAACGATTAAAAATCATGCAACACTGGATAATTATTTCATTCTAGTATGGGCTTTATAAGTAGTCTGCAATCTTAACCATATCAAGGATCTGAAACAGAGACAGCAATTTACACCATAAACAAATTGACTTTATATCACTAAACTGATAAGTAATCGTTTACAATTTTAACTTCAATCAATTCATGACTTGATGTAAGTAATTAGAGTCAACCATACAGCTCAACTGGCCAGGTATGTTTTCAGCATATATCCACATAAATAGAACCAAAATTACTAGTCAGTGAGGATTCATTTGAATGAACTCTTTTTTATTACGTATAGCATGGAAAATCAAGCCACAGTTCATTGACTACTCAATCCCTAATATCACGTGAAGCTATCGTTTTTGTCTGTAGTATTATCATAAAGTATCAGAGGCGTGAAAACCATAGACATTCCCTAATCTCTAGAATTGATAGGGTCTTTAGTCTTGCTGATGCTGCTCTCAACATCTTAAGGAAATTTCGTATGGATGGTTCTTGAACTTTTTTTACTACAGATTTAATTTTGTTTAGACAGGCTCTTCTATAAACACAAATTCTTAAACTGTAATTTATAATTATCTTGATATAGTCCCAGGTCATTACTAACATTGCACAATCCATTCAAAAAAATAAATTATCCTATAATTGTGTTTGAATACTTTCGTTATAAAAACCATTATTGACATTCTAAACAAAAATGGATGATGGCTAGTATCGGGATCCAGCACATACATTTCATCCTATTTAAGACTCGTTAACTGAATGTATCTTCATCCTAGAGTTGATGTTCTCTTCAAGACTCGAACCCAGTATAGTTCTCTTCAAACGTCATCCTGTCATACATTAAGGTTGTGAAATGGGTCGGGGGAGAGCTTTCATCCTTTGATCTTTAAGACTACAGTCGTCAATCTCTTATTGACATAATTTAAGAGATAATACTCGTTGATTATTAAGATTACAAAGAATATATATATATATATAACTTACCAAGTGTGCTAATGTAATGAATGCTTGTCTAACATGCATACCAGTTTTAGCACTCGTTTCCAAATATGCACAATTAATACTTTTAGCATATTCTTCAGCTTTTTGTATAGATACAGCACGTGCTGGCTACAATAAGAATTATTATTTTGTTTTAAAAAAAAAGAATAAATAAAATTAAATAAATACCTACTAAATCATTTTTATTACCAATAATCACTTTGACTAATCTACTACCAGAATATTGTTCAATCATTTTAATCCATGTATTTAATTCTTCAAAACTTTTTTGACAACCAACATCATAAACTGAAAAAGAAGAAAAAAGAAGAAAAAAATTAGTTAAGGTCAATTGTTATGTTGTCATGGTAACAAAAATAAATGGTGAAATCTATAATTTATGGACGATCTTTGAGAGATATCAAAGTGAGTTTGGACTACAAATGCCCTGGTACGACTTAGAGGGGGGAGAGTCAGCTCCCCTTCTGCAAATGCTCTTAAATGACCACGTGCACACAATCACTGTAAGGGAAGTCCAACTCACTGCCTTCTCGTGGCAGGGGTGGTTTTTACAAAATTGAGAGGATAAAAAGCGAATATCTGGCGCTATAACTGAGTTGGTGGACACGGAGAGTTCACCTAGGGGAGTTGGAGAATCCTCATTCTAAACCAATGGTGTACATGGGATTCAGTATCCTGAGAGTACAAATGGCGTTTGAACTTATTGTTGGACATCGGTCACCATGAGACTGCATCTCCTAATGTTGCTCCATTGCCTTATTGATCAGACCTTTATGTCAAAGGCTCTGTGTGTGGTCCCCTAAGAAAACCACCTGGTTCGGTTTGGACACCCAGACAGTATCCCAGCCTTCACACAAATTGAATGGTTTATGTGACGCATATCTATTTGGTGTTTCCTTGTACCATTATTGATTTTTTTAAATAAATAACTAAATAAAAATAAACCGAAGTGAATTTGAGAGTGTCTACCTACATACTAAGAATAAATAAAGGTTATAAAACAGTTTAAAAAATAAGGATTATGATTCACGGTTACAGATTAGGGTTAGTAATTAGATATAAGGTTTTCATCACGAACTGACATTAGCTAAAATGCTAAGATACTATTTGAACAAATGAGTGAATAAATTTCGCGCCAAAACTCAAGAACTTAAATCTGATTGGTTCATTCACATATTATAATATAATCGTGTTTCTTAACTCCGCCTGTAGCTCTTCTAGAGTTACTGCCGGTCCCAAACCCAGATAAACGAGGAGGGTTGGGCATGGGGTTAGCGTCCCCATACCGTAGAAAACTAACTCGCTAAAAAAACGCTAACCATAAAAAACAACTCAAACCATTTAATTTCTGCCATGGGAGTTAGAAGGTCTTCATTTAGAAGAAATATGACGCCTCATGGTGAAAGCCGAGTTCCTTCGGAATCCATGAGGCCGATGTCCCTTCTTCTATTAACCAGAGCAACAATTTTTATAGGTACATGGAACGTTCGGACAATGTGTGAGACCGAGAAAACCATTCAAATAGCAACGGAAATGAGGAGATATAACTTGGCAGTACTGAAAATCAGCGAAACCCATTGGACCCAAGATGGACAATAAAGGCTGAATACGGGAGAGATGCTGCTATACTCTGGTCACGAAGAGGAAAATGCCCACATACGCAGGGAGTTGCTCTAATGCTGTCCAAAGTAGCACGAAATGCACTTGTAGGATGGGAATCTCACGGATCCAGAATCATCAAAGCATCATTCAAAACAAAGAAGAAGGGGATCACAATGAATATGATCCAATGTTATGCACCCAACAATGATAGCAACGACGACGTTAAAGATCAATTCTATGAGAGGCTGCAATCAATCATAGAGAAGTGCCCAAGAAAGGACCTCACCATTCTGATGGGAGATCTAAACGCCAAAGTCGGAATAGACAACACCGGATATGAAGACATCATGGGACTATATGGACTGGGAGAGAGAAACGAAAATGGAGAAAGATTTGCAAATCTATATGCATTCAACAAGTTGGTCACAGGCGGCACAATATTTCCACACAAATGTATACGCAAAGCTACATGGATCTCACCGGACCACACCACGGAGAACCAGATAGATCATATTTGCATAAATAAAAAGTTGCGAAGGACAATGGAAGATGTAAGAACCAGGAGAGAAGGCTAAATACGGGAGAGATGCTGCTATACTCTGGTCACGAAGAGGAAAATGCCCACATACGCAGGGAGTTGCTCTAATGCTGTCCAAAGTAGCACGAAATGCACTTGTAGGATGGGAATCTCACGGATCCAGAATCATCAAAGCATCATTCAAAACAAAGAAGAAGGGGATCACAATGAATATGATCCAATGTTATGCACCCAACAATGATAGCAACGACGACGTTAAAGATCAATTCTATGAGAGGCTGCAATCAATCAAAGTGCCCAAGAAAGGACCTCACCATTCTGATGGGAGATCTAAACGCCAAAGTCGGAATAGACAACACCGGATATGAAGACATCATGGGACTATATGGACTGGGAGAGAGAAACGAAAACGGGGAAGGATTTTTAAATCTGTCTGCATTCAACAAATTGGTCATAGGCGGCACAATATTTCCACACAAACGTATATACAAAGCTACATGGATCTCACCGGAGCACACCACAGAGAATCAGATAGATCATATTTGCATCAATAAAAAGTTCCGAAGGACAATGGAAGATGTGAAAACCAGGAAAGGAGCGGATATAGCTTCAGATCACCACCTGGATGTGGCCAATTCGAAACTGAAGCTAACGAAGAACTGGACAACTGGACAAACAGCACTACAAAGGTTCAATACAGCCTTCCTTCGAGATACTGACAAACTCAATGAATTCAAGATAGCTATCAACAACAGGTTCCAAACCTTACAGGATCTGCTGAGGGAAGAAGAAATTACTATGGAGGATAACTGTAAAGGTATCAAAGAAGCATTAACTTCAACTTGTCAAGAGGTTCTGGGCCCCAAAAAGCATCATCACAAGGAACACTGGACAGAATCAAAGAAAGGAAGAACAAGAAGCCAGCAATTAACAATAGTCATACACGAGCAGAGAAAGTTCAAGCACAAGCTGAATATATAGAAGCAAACAAGCAAGTGAAGAAGAGAATTAGAGCCGACAAGCAGAAATACGTGGAAAAACTAGCAACGACGGCGGAGAAAGCTGCAAGAGAAGGAAATATGAAACAGCTTTACGATACAACGAAGAAACTAGCAGGAAAATAGAGTAAACCAGAGAGACTAGTCAAAGACAGAGAAGGAAGACCAATCACTGAGATTCAACAACAGCAGAACAGATGGGCAAAGTACTTCGAGGAACTCCGGAATAGGCCGGCTCCAATGAATCCACCGGACATCAAAGCAGCACACACAGATCTTCCTATTGATATCAATCCACCAACGACTGAAGAAATCAGGATGGCCATCAGACAAACCAAGAGCGGGAAAGCAGCAGGACCCGACAATATACCAGCTGAAGCACTGAAGTCAGACATCGAGGTAACTACGAACATGCTTCATCTTCTATTCAAAAAGATTTGGGAGGAAGAACAAGTGCCAATGGACTGGAAGTAAGGACACCTTATCAAGATTCCAAAGAAAGTAGATCTGAGCAAGTGTGAAAATTACAGAGGCATTACACTACTGTCAATACCAGGAAAAGTCTTTAACAGAGTGTTACTGAACAGGATGAAAGACGCAGTAGACGCTCAACTTCGAGATCAACAAACTGGATTCCGTAAGGACCGGTCGTGCACAGACCGAATTGCGACACTACGGATCATCGTCGAACAATCAATTGAGTGGAATTCATCACTGTACACCAACTTCATTGATTACGAAAAGGCATTTGACAGTGTAGATAGGAGAACATTATGGAAACTTCTTCGACACTATGGAGTTCCTGAGAAGATTTCCAATATTATACGGAACTCATACGATGGACTACAGTGCAAAGTAGTGCATGGAGGACAGCTGACAGATGCATTCCAAGTAAGGACCAGAGTAAGACAAGGCTATCTACTTTCTCCCTTCCTCTTTGTTCTGGTGTTCGACTAGATTATGAAGACCTCTACATGTGAAGGAAAACACAGAATACACTGGACAGCTCGGAACTAATTAGACGATTTGGACTTCGCAGATGACCTAGCCCTCTTATCGCATACACATGAACAAATGCAGATAAAGACAGCCAGTGTAGCAGCAGTCTCTACATCAGTAGGCCTCAACATACACAAGGGGAAAACCAAGGTCTTCAAATACAACATGGAGAACAGCAATTCAATCACACTTGAAGGCGAAACCCTAGAGGATGTGGAATCCTTCACATACCTGGGAAGCATCTTCGATGAACAAGGAGGTTCAGATGCAGACGTAAAGGTGAGGATAGGCAAAGAAAGGACAGCATTCCTACAATCGAAGAACATATGAAAGTCAAAACAACTATCTGTCAACCAATATCAAAGTCAGCATCTTCAATACCAACTTCAAGGCAGTTCTACTGTACGGAGCTGAAACTTGTAGAACTACTACAACCACCATCAAGAAGGTACAAGTATTTATCAATAGCTGTCTACGCTAGATACTCAACATCCATTGGCCGGATATCATTAGCAACAGCCTTCTCTGGGAGAGAACAAACTAGCTTGCAGCTGAAGAGGAAATTAGGAAAAGACGATGGAAATGGATAGGACATACATTATGCAAATCATCAAACTGCATCATGAGGCAAGCCTTAACTTTGAATCTTGAAGGGTAGTGGAAAAGAGGAAGGCCAAAGAACACAATACGTCGGGAAATAGAAGCGGATATAAAAGGGATGAATAAGAACTAGAAAGAGCTGGAAAGGATTGCCCAGAACAAGGTTGGATGGAGAATGCTGGTATGCGTCCTATGCTCCTTCGCGAGGAATAACAGGCATAAGTAAGTAAGTAATCATGTTTTTTAATACCTATCTACTTACCTACTAAAGCACCTTGTGCATGACGAAAATATGATGGAGACATATGATTTTTAAATCTTTCTGTACCAGCTGTATCCTTTATTGAATAGAATAAAAGAGAAAAAATATATATAATATTATATACTTACCCAAATATAAAGTTTAATTAATTCACCATTCAATCTCATTTCATATAATTTTAAATCAGTACCAACTGTAGACACTGGTTCAGTTTCATCAGATCCTTTAATGAATGATTTTAATAAACTAAATTATATAAGTAATATTTATATAAGTAGTATAAATAAGAAAAAGATAAACAAACCTTGATTTACCAACATTTGAATTACCCACCAAAATAATTTTAATTCGTTTACTTATATTATTACATTCATTAGTACCATCTAAATCCACAACGTTTGATTCCATTATATTGCTAAATATAAATAAAATAATGATAGATAAATAAGTTAAGAATAGAAAAGCTATTAAAGTATTACTACTGTATTTCTACACTTACTCTTACCTCGTGGATAAGTTCGCAGCTAATATGAACTTGGTAATTCAGGGAATAAGAAGATGAAATGAGAGCATTGGATTCGAATGGTTGTCATAATCTATCTATTGTATATAACTAATGATCAAGTAGTTATGTTAGAGGTGATCTACACATGATGTATACATTCTATTCAAATTCATAGAAAAAAGATGGATGATTACGAGTATACTTATGCCTGTTAACTCTTGAAGAGGAACATAGGCTGTTAACTAGCACTTTTTATCAAACCCTGTCCTGAGCAAAACTTTCTAATTCTTTCCAGTTTCTATTTATTCTTCTCATGTTTAATTGATGGAGACAAGTTACAAGTGATGCTAAATTGACTATATAGTCAATTTTACCAATGTCAACTAACAACAAGTGAGTCTCTTTAACTTAGAAATATTTCACAAATGAGGTAATGAAATTGGTTAAAACATAGAATTTGTAGGTAGTTTAATAGTTTCTCAAAAGCCATTATCACTTGTACATTAATTAACATTGTAGCCAATAACCTTATTTCATTGTATGTTGAAATATTCATCTAAAAGGTTGTTCTGTTAATCCTTCTCATAACCATGAATCATTCTAGAATCATTCTAGATTATATGTTAAACCGTTGTTACTGAATAGGACGAAGAGTTGTCGTGAAGAACTTGTGTGACAAAAACAACATGAGGAATTCATGAAGAGAAACCACTATCAAGGTTAACACTGTCACATTAGCAATTCACTTCTGATCCAATGAATTACTAACAACGTGATTTGTTATATAACTCACTGTGTGACAAAATGAACAGAATCAAAACTCACTGATTCACATGTTGTGTACAATCTACATAGAAGGAAGTCGACATTCGATGTGTAACAATGACATTATCATTGTCAGTCTAATGAAGACAGAAAGTAATGGTTTTGAACGTTTATACGAAGTATAGAAGTGTACTTCCATTGCCCTTTCCACATAATGTGAGATAAATTTATTCGGTTATAAATTGTGTTGCAAAAGTAGGAAGTAGTTCTCCTAATCCTCATTGACCCATTTCCTACATTTTAGTTTGAGTATAGGAGATTTGTAATTATTGTTCATCTGAAAGACAGTGTTTCCCAAGTATAATTTCAATGAATTTGATTCCTTTATTGTAATCCTCAGTAGTATCAACCTCTCATTTAATCTTACTATCAAACAGAGACGTTTTAAATCAACAGTCGATTAAAAGCGGTTAAGATTGGTGAATTAAAATCTCATGAATGAAGTGGGTCAATTCACTACGTAACAGGAACATCATTCATTACTAATGGCAATATTTGTTTCACTGCTTACATAATTGAATTTCATCCGTTTATTCTCAAACCTTCTTTGCTCGTCTATTCTGTGGTTAAATATCTGAGTTACGGAATTAGATGAGTTTGTTGTGAGGACAGTACAGATGTGGGACTAAACAGGTCAAGATTGATGACTTTACAAAATAGATATCTTAATAATTTCGTCCGTTGTTCGGACATCACCAGTGGTGGAAAACAACAAAAAACATGCATTTGAGGAGGAAAGTAGGGAGAGAAGATGGGGGGTGGATAGGTCATGCTTCAAGGAAATCGACAAACTGCATAAAAAATCGGTCTTAATTTTGAATTGCTAAGGCAATTCAAACAACATGTGTTACGGATCGGAGGCAGTCAATAAAAGAATTAATAGTATTTGGCAAAAACAGGCAATGAAATCTCTAGATAGTGTTGTTTTATGATCCCTCGTCAGCGACCTGTTTTCTACGAGGGCTAACAGGATTAACTAACTGAGTGAATAATTTCATAATGAAATATATAACTGGACTGAAAACTAAGACATGAACGTCCGCAGCTGAAACAAAAATTCTGTACTTAAGACTTGATTCCAAATGTGATATAGTGAGTGAGATTTTAACAGATCTATTAAGACAACTTTTAATCCCTCTAAATCCCACATAGTGTCTTCAATAAAACCATTTTGATTCAGCAATTTAAGTATAAGCTACTAACGATGCACTCATCTATGTGTGTTTATGAATTTAATTGTGCATATGCAGCCAATTACGGTAGCTCTACTCAAAGTTTCTTATCCTTATCCTCTCGCGAACACATAATAGCATAGTTAGAAAGAGTAAATACTAAATCGATTAACCATTCTATTCTTCTCAGACTAATTGGTCATAAACAAAACATTAGAGTTAAAAAATCTTTCACATTTATCTATCAAGTTCCTAGTAATCTCTTGAAAAGGTCCAATCTTAAACTTACTCTACATAACTGAAGCAATTTATATACATTAGAGAAAAGCTAACTTTCGTGTATAATAAAAAGATACATACAATCTCTTTGTTTACTTTGGCCTGGATTTAAGACATTTCATTCTTAGTTCCAAGTTTGTTCATTCTCTTTGGTTATGATTTGCACTATTTTTCAAGACTTTTGTTTTTTTTTTCATACTTGAATCGTATATTCACATGATATATTTACCGATTATTATTAACCATAACAACTACGGCTTAATTTTAATGTATCAATATAGTAACTTTAATCAGAAAGAGGTTTTGTTGAGATTTTAGTAATTTAATAGTTGAATTCATGAGTCAATTAAAGCTAAACCACCATAGAAAATTTAAAAGCACTGAACGGCCGTTTCGTTCTAGCATAGAGCTCCTCAGCGATGGATATCCACGATCCCGCCCTCAAGACTTGAACCCATGATCTCCGGTTTTAAGCGTGAACGTCTAACCTCTTGACTACAGAGCCGGCATTCAACCAATTCAAAAAATCGCGCTATCATTCATCGATAGGTCCTGGGTTTGAATCCTGCAAGCAGGGTCGTGGATGGACAATCCTGAAGAGTCCCATACTAGGAAGAAACAGACATCCAGTGTTTCCAGTTTTCTTATGGTGGTCAAGCTTTAATGGACTCATGAATTCAACTAATACATTAATTTGTATTTACATACGGTTTTATCTTATTACTTAGAATGCATCACCTTAAGGCATATGATTTTTCTTACCCTTTATGTATGATCATATTTTAGCATCATCAATGATGTCACTTTATTTTGTAGTATTTAAAGCTCAATGAAAATGGATTTTGTTTACGGTGTAACCTAAATATTTTGTGGTTTCGAACTTATATAAGGTCGTAAATGTGTATTATTTTATAGACTTTAACTAGAATGGTCCATCTCTCTAGTGTCCTATGGTTTTCGATAGTATTTAAGCGGTTTATAATAACCTTTGATGATTGAACCTAAAGATGGTAGATGACAGAATGTTTATAGATTCGAAGCTGCAAAGGAATAGAGGTTAACCAACTTAGATTTTCACCTTGATCAAAATCATTTTAAGAAGTTAGTTTATTCATTCAGTTTTGGACTAAGTGAAGATTAAAGGTGGTGATGTTTAAGTTAAAATACATAAAAAGACTATAGTTTGAGTATGATATAGTAGAACGAAGATTGAAGAAATAGTTACTCCCAGAACCATTTTAAGGATTATTATAATATGTATTCTTATTGTGCCCTCGAATTCCCTGGTACGGCCGAGAGTGGGGAGAGTCCGCTCCCTCTTGAAATGCTCTCACATGGCCACGCGTATATAGCCTCTGCCAGGGAAGTCCTACTCACGGCCTTCTCGCACCAAGGGTGTTGTTTACGAAAATGAGAGAACGAAAAGAGAATGTTCGGCACCGGCTTTAACCGGATCCCAAACCAATGGTGTACATGGGCTGGCTCCAGTATCCTGAAGGAACAAATGGCGTATGAACCAATCGTTGGTCACCGGCTACCATGGAAATGCATATCTTTACGATGTTCCACTGCCTTGTGGATCAGATCTTCGGGTCAAAGGCTCAGGGTGTGGCCCTCTGAGAAAACCACGTGGTTCGGTTTGGGCACCCGGGCAGTATCACAGCCCTCACACATATCAAGTAAGGTCTGTGTGGCGCATATATATTTGGTGCCTCCTTGTACCAATATCTATGTATTAAAATAAAATAGATAATATTTTTATTGTAACTGGGTCATCAGCTTCCTTTCAACCCGTTACCTATTATTATACTATTTATTATTCCTACTTTATTGCCAAACAATCATTCATAGCTTGCACCATTCACAGCCACTTACGGCTCGTTTACGTATAATTATGATCATATATGAACATATGGTCGAATCATTATAATAACAGAAACTGGCTGCTGACTTTTTGGACTCAAGTCGAAGCAGAGACGGAAGCTAACGAAAACCTGACGAATAGGATCTTGGCTCTCTAGACTCAAGTTTAGCGGTGCTGATCAGGTGCATAACTGATCAAGTTTGAAACACTAAGCTATAAGAGAAATAGCAGACATGCAATAGAAAAATTAGAATAAGAATTATGCTAAATGACTGTAGAACATGATAATGAATAGCATCTCAATACAAGGTAGATAGTCTATTAGATCAGAGAAAACAACGGCAAGGAATTAAAGTGATCCTAACATGGGACAATTGTTCGAACTATACCTTATCGGTTAGTTTGGGCTGATTAGAATCTTAAAATGAATTTGGATTCACACCGTATCATGTGTTTATGGGGAATCAAGAACAACTTTAATGAAACGGTTGAAAATTTAACTAAACAAATATTTGCAAATGCATTTATTATTTATTGAAATGAGTTATGGTACTATCAGAAACTAAAGAGCATTCAATAGTTGCTTTGTCCAGATATAAGACTTCTAAGTAGTATTTACATTAAACCTCTGAAAGGTTTTGTAGCAGTCCTCATTCTATTAAATTCATGATATATATATATATATATATATATATATATATATATATATATATATATATATAACATGAAGTGTCATTGACAACAACTGGTTCACTCTTTACATGGTTGAAATTCAATATTCATTACATCTTATAGAAGCTTGTAAATCTTATTACATACCATGTCACTAGTGAGCACACAATCATAGTTAGGCGAAATGGCTAGATACTTGTCTCTGTTTTTCAATGATACACCAGTTGAAATTAATCTGTAAAGAACATGTTGATCAGTTTATATATGACAAGTGAATATAGTGCTATACCGGTTTGGTCTGTGTGGAAGACCAAATAATCATAAGTGTATTAAGTGTACCGTTTCGATTCTATTGGTTTTAACACTCAGTTACATGAATAGTTCTGAACTTCCATCCATGAACATTACTACATTACTTGGATAGATTGTGTGTGTATGTGAATTGCTGTTCAATTCACAGCACTGATTTACTAAACTACATTTATTCCATGTCATTCGAATGCATCCGGGTCCACTCTATTTCCTGAAATAATAATTCAAAAAATGTGTGGTTTATGTGGATGCTCTTAGTATTCTGTCCAAAACTATGACTGAAAGTTCCACAATTAAATCATATACAAACTAAACTAGCCACCAAACAGAACAATGCAACAGTCAGATATCATCAGAAGGGGGTTTTTTGAAAATTGTAGCAATTTAATGTTTGAATTTATGAGTCAAGTAAAGCTAGACCACCATGGAAAATCTCAAATCACTAGACGACACCACGAGATTCGAACCCAGGACCTATCGGTCTCGCGTGCAAACGCTTAACCTCTAAACCCCTGAGTTGGCATCCAAAGGTGGTTTAGCTTCATTTAACTCATGAATTCAACCATTAAAGTTAAATATTAGTTAGAACGAAATAGTTATAAATTCACTTGATGTCGTTTGTTTGTATCTTTCCATTGTTGTTTAGGACTGCAATTGATCATTCGCTTATTGGAATATGTGTATCATGTGAGGATTGCCTCGATATGGCTTTAAGTTTTACATACCAACAAAAGACTGTTTATACATAAATAATATACTTTTAATATTCCAGTGAGTAGAAAAATTAAATTTTCTAACGTTTCGTGAATTAGTTAAAGCTACTTCTTCAGAGAATAAATAACCAAATTAAATAGTACAACGGAACAATAAGAATAATATGTGATCAATAAAAAAAACAGGTCTCAACAAGTTAATGTCATGTCATTTTGGTCAATGTGATTCATAAGTGACATGTATGTAATTTTGTGTGTATGTATGTGTGTACTGTTTAAAGGTAAAGAATTATGATACCTATAAAAGACTGATCAATTTTAGTCCTAAACAATAATGGGATTATACAAGCAAATAACATCAAGGGAATTTAAACTTCATCTCATTACACCAACTCGTGGCTATTAGGACTGAATAGCTAAGTAGATAATGCAATGATGTTTAATACGAACGATATTAGGTTCGAGTCCTGAAATGAACATCAACTATGAGATGTATGTAGATCCAGCTGACGAGTCTCAAATGGGACAAAACACATATCCTGCATTACATTATTAATTATGAATTACAAATCATCATAAAACTGAATGAAAGAAATTTTGTTCACACAAAAAAGAATATTTAACTGTAAACAATGTAAATTACTTACTTTCTTGAATGAATCCAACTATTCAATAGAATGATCTGAAGTTTTTCAAAGAATCATACATAAATTCTTGAACATATATAGATCAGATATGTATATATATATATATACGTAAAAAAGAAGTTTACACTGATATTGCAAGACTGTAATTGAACATTTCCATTGTTATATATATATATATATATATATATATATATATATATATATATATATATATATATATATATATATATACATGTATATGCATATGTAGATGTATCGCCATAGCAACAGCATTAATGGATTTCATGTGACTTAACACCATGACTAGTCACTAATATAATCATAAACAATATTAATAATACATTTCTATCATTGTATTAATTACTGTCTATCATTTAAAAGAATTCAATTTATTTTAAAGAGAATTAAGAGAAGAAAATGAAAAGTGTTTTTTTGTTGTTGTTGAGTGATTCATGTTGGATACTTTTTCTTATGGTACTTTGTGGTTCCTTTTTAAAGATAATTGATTTAAAACTGTAGACACAGATTTTGTATTATTTAATGATTATCACTTACTTACTTACTTACTTACTTACTTACTCCTGTTACTCCTTGTGAAGGAGGCTAAGCCACTCATCGTCATTCTCCATGCAACCCTGTCCTGGGCAAACCTTTCAAGTTGTTATTTATCCTTTTCATATCTGATTCCATTTCCCAACGTAATGTGTTCTTTGGTCTTCCTCTTTTGCAGTTCCCTTCAGGATTCCAATTTAAAGCTTGCCTCGTGACGCAGTTTGATGATTTACATAATGTATGTCCTATCCTTGGTGGTCTAGATTCAATTGACTCATGATTTCAACTCTTGACATTCGATTGTCCCCACGGGTGTTCTGTTCACTACATTAGTATAATTTAAAGAAGTTATGCGGTAAGCGATATGACCCCTTGAACAAACACGAGACGTTTCTCATCAGACCGAACATATATAGTGGAAAAATTTGTAGAAAAATATGTTTACCTTACTTTGATGAACATGTTGACCATAATGATAATAGTGAAATGGACTTAGAATTTATGTAAACAAATGTCTTAGCAATCGCTAACTATTTTATTTTATTTTCATTTTATTTGTAAATAGAGTTTTCAGTAAATATCGTCATTTTCAATTTATTTGTGTGTAGGCTGTGATACTACCCGGGTGCCCAGACCGAAGCAAGTGATTTTCCTGGTGGAGGGCCACACCTTGAGCCTTTGACCTGAAGGTCTGATCCACAAGGCAGTGGAGCATTGTCAGGAGACGCAGTCCCATTGCAGCCGGTGACGAACGACTGGTTCATACGCCATATATTCCCTCAGGATACTAGATCCCATGTGCACCATTGATTTGGGATGCGGTTTAAGCGCCGGACTTTCGCCCAACTACGTATTTATCAGTATAATGTTGTGGAAATTATTACGTTTTTGAATAAAATCATAAACTGATCGATGTTAGACCAACATTGAAAACCTAAGAGAAACGATTACCCAATGCTTCCAGGTTTTCAATGATGGTCTCACATCAATCAGTTTATGATCTCAATCAAAAACTATGTATTTATCGGGTGTGTCGACATTATTAATACATATAAATTTGATTTAACTTGATTTTCATTTCATCCACTTGGGTGAGGAAGATTAACTGGTTAGATTTATAATTTATGTATGACATTTGAGTGACACTAAACCCTAAATTTCGATAACATTGTTAGTGCTTACTTTATGTAAAAGTCTACATTGTTCAGAATGATAATAAAAGCTTAGCAATGAACCTAACAACACTAAAATCATCCATCCAAGCTATAAAAACAAAATTTCCCTCCATGTTATTTATATTTTGAACTCAGTAAAAATATCATTGTTGAAGTCTAGATAACTTCAATGCCGATATATATCACATCTAATTTATATTAGTGTCAGGAGGAGTTTTGTGGATATCGCAGTAATTTTTAATGGTTGAGATCATGAGTTAATTGAAGCTAGATCACCATGAAATAGTTGAGAGCACTGGACGGCCGTTTTTTCCTATTTTGGGACTACTCAGCAATGTGCATCCACGATCCCGCCCTCCGTGAGACTCGAACTCAGGACCTATCAGTCTCGCGTGCAAACGCTTAAACACTAAACCTCTGAGCCGGCCGGCATCCAACAGTGTTAATGTCTAACTTCAACCAATCTCTATTAAGTGAACAAATTATTTTATAATGTATACAATTAAACTTCACAAAAAACGGTTAACTTAATTAAAATAAAACTCTTCAACCTCATAGCATTTATTCAATATTTTCCCGATTTTATCTTGTAACTTATCAACCATTTGCATATCTATTACGTATACTCGAAATCTGAATCTACATCAATCATAGGTGATACTATAATTTATAGACGATCTTGGAGCAACGCTACACTGACTTCGAGATTGTCCACCTGGTAACTAGAATCAAATGAGGGTTAAAAAACAGTGTTAGGGATTAGAATCATGATTTACAGTTGATGGTTAAAGTTAGAAATTAGTTTTAGGTTTATCATCACGAACTGACATCATTTGTAATGCCAAAACTCTATTTAACCACATGGATAAGTGAATTTCGCTCCAAATATCCGAGACCTGTTATCTTATACCTCATTGGTTCAACCATTACACAATGTTTTGGTAAAATATAAAAACAATATATATTAAATACTTCATTTGTACATCTTCCATCAGTTGTTTCTTACGAAATTCATCATCCCTCTATTCCTATTTTTATTACAATTACTCACTGTTTACATTTCGGTTCTCTTCAATTCGATCTTCTCGACCTTCTGTTACCAGACATTTCACTTCTGATTAAGTGTTACATACTACTTATATCTGTCGACATAAATAGCATACACAATAATAATAATAGTTAGTAATCAATAAATCAGATGGAACAAATTTCAGTCTTTCTATTATTGCACAATTATCTATCGTTTACAGTGAGTATCTTACCCTATACCCCTATAAGGTCGATCATAACTAACCTGTCCTTCCATAATGGATACATTGAATGCAATAGCTAATTTCTAGTGTAGTTCACATGTAATAAAATCGATATAAATAGTTTCCTCACTATAAATAAACATATATATATATATATATATATATATATATATATATATATATATATATATATATAAACTTGATAATTGTCGAAAAGAATGTCTTTCATAAATTGATTCAATCATAACAATAGCTAGTTAACATACCTTCATTATCTTAGTGTATGTTGTTTGTTTGTTTGTTTGTTCATCTTTTTTTAAAAAAAACTACCCCATAGATTCTTCTGAAAGTAGAACCATTCGTTATGATAAAACCAATTAGATATTTTGTTAGAGTTATATGCATACCACAATACATGAATATATAAACTATGCTGTGAATACACCTAAATATGTCGGTTAAAAGTTGCCTTAATGAGTAAGTAGGTTATGAATTTGTTTGATAGTTTATAAAATATGTCGAAAATCTATTTAAAAATTATATTTTAATTGAAATAAGAAGATCATACTGTGATGTGGGTTACTTATATTCATATAAGTAGTATATAACGATGGTCAAAGCATAGAATGTATTTTAATAGAAGATTAAGAAGGAAAGCACTGGAATGGAATGCAATTGGTATGAAAATGTATGAACAATGAAATTTGAGATGATGGATTAATATTTTTGGAAATTGAGTATTTACGCAATGGTTTTCAGATTTTATTGAGATGCTCTGTAATTTTGTGTTAGATACATTCGATTGTCCCAACTCGTGCATTGTGTTGTACGCTCTTCAAATTATCTATAGTTCCTTGATACGACGAAGGGGTAATCCACTTTAGGTGCTGACCGCAAGGTGTGACTTCGACGTTAGCTGTTGGCCACATCATTCCTGTATAACTCCGGCAGGCACTCAATCATTCGACAGAGATCTTCAATGTTGATGATCTACAATAGCATTGCAGATCAACTGAAAATACAAAGTGAGAAACGAGAACACTATAAAAGTTATGGGTTGGAACATTATTTTTAATGAAATTTACACTCTAACATGCAGTGATGACCAACTCAGTGAAGGGGAAAGCATATAAATATCAGACAATCTCCACTGTCACACAGATAAATGATGTATACATTTTAATTAATCATAATGAGAGGTTTGAAATGAGAAATTTCTGTTCCTTCATTGTTTCTACTTTTTAATGAGTTACTAGCTGGTGACAATTTCAAAAACATTTATCTAGTATGCGGGGAGTAATAAATACAGCATTTGTGATGAGAAGTATTCTTGTGTTTGTTTTGATCTATTATAATGTTGACAACACAAGTTTATGTGATGACTAGAAGTAGTTGAATTATTATAAGAACTAGGAATCCCAGAAATAATGTACTTAAGGCCAAAGAGAACTAAGTGAGCACAAGCGAACGTATTGTATTTGGAATTTGGAATCAGACAGTCATCAAGTACAAAAGAATCATTAGTTCATACAAACACCACAACAGCCACAGCCTAACTTGGAATCTAAGTTCCTGTAATCGTTTATGTGTCTCCCATTAAAGTTCATTGTATGCCTGTTAGATTGTTTATTGTATGCCAACTCAATGATTTGGAATATACTCTTTAGTAACACAATGCGATCCCAGTTCAGCTAGCTTTAAACCAGAGTTCATATTTGAATGTTGTTTAAGTTTTATTCCATTTAGAACTTTCACTAATTATTGATATCATTACAAATTTCTGACTGGCATCTCTGAAAAACATGAAGCTCAATAATCTTGGGAAGTTACTAATTGACAAATCACAGTGAGAAGTGAATATTTTGCTAGGGAAAAAAACATAGTGGTTGGGCCATTGTGTTAGGTTTTGAAGATCCGGTGTTGAGATCCGGATTTTAAGTTTTCCGTGTTCATCCTCCCCCACGAAACAATGTTGGGTCCTCATATACCCAAATTACAATTAACTTGACTGTATTTAAAACGTATTGAGCAGAGAATCCAGTAAAATGGACCAGGTAGTGAGGATAAACGCCATTTCATTTGAGATCATCAGAGTTTGAATATTCTGAAATCTTGTTATCAATTTTATTGGGAGCTTCATTTGTAGATGATGAATCATTAAGATAATCAGCATTTATCAAAATTTTGTTAGGTTCTTGATCATCGTTTGATGAATCCGACAAAGTTTCCTCATTTTTGTAAGAAATTTGATCGAAGACATGTGAGTCATTAAGATAACTCATACCTGGTAAAACAACTAAGGAACCGCGATAAGTAGATTGATCAGATGCTTTTGTCGTAGAATGATGAGCTGCATTTGATGCATCTGTCTTTACTATGCTGATTGATTGATTTTCTGTTTGTTCGTGGGCGGCTACTGTAATAAGTTCATGAGCATTTAATAAGACACGGTCTCTGTGTGAGCTGGACACATCAATGTCTGAACATGCTGTTTCGGGGATAATGGAGATTGAATCCATTACCGGGCATGTTTCTGGAATGATGAGTACTGGACCACCGAGCGGATCTTGAGTGACAGCTGTATCGTTTGAAATATAGTTTGCTAAGGATTCATGGGGGCTGCAATCATTTTCTAGCTCAGTGCGCAATTGAGAAATTAATCCATCCACTTCCGTCGAATCTTCAAAGCATGAACGATTCCGCAGCTGTGTGCGTAAATTGACTAAGAACTCCAATTGTCGCTCAAATAGCAGCTGTAATCGATCGGAAGGGAGAGTCATTTTTTCTTAATCAGAACCGGCTGACTTTGGATTGTATTTTTTTTACCCCGTCGCCAATTGTTAGGTTTTGAAAGAGCGAGAGAGAGCTATCACGGGTTCATGTAGTTTGAGAACGAGATCGAGGATTCGGTGACCAAGGTACAGTAAGCTATCTATTGACACGTCCCAGCCCGCTATCTAGAGAGAGAAGACCAAGCTTAGAATGAAAGTATATTCTGTAATAACCAGAAAACCAGCAAACGTTTTTACAAGACAATTTCAAAACGTATATATACAATTATATATACATCGATATTGTTATGGAGCTTTGAAACATTTAATCGATATTTCGTCGATTGACTGCCATTGAAATATTTAAACACTTAATCGATAATTTCGTCAATCAACTATGTGCGTGGGCGGTAAGAAATGCCCACGTATACATTTGCATACAAGCTCATCAAGATAAATCACAAACTATGAGTTTTTGGGGATCTACCGTCCCCAACACATTGTCCTCCTCTTAATGCCCATCAATGCTCGTGGTAAAGAGCCTCAGGCCAACTTAGGTTTTAATTCCTTTATACGTCCATTCTCTTGATAGTGTAGGGCCAGTGAAATCCCACTGAGCCCTGGCCATTGAACATCGAACAAAATCATCAATTCTCGTCAATGTCAAGGACAATCAACGCGCATCGGTTAGTCGTACGCCATGGACTGGCCCATGCGGCAGTGGTCTTACCTTCGCTTGTATCTACTTTAACTAATATATTTCTGTAATAACGTCCTCTGTGTTGTACAGTCTTCAAAGCATCTATAGTCCCTTGATACGTCAATGTGGTAGTATATGTATGGTGCTAATCACGAGGTGAGACTTCGACACTAGCTAGTTCGTCACACGATTCCCGTCTAACTCCAGTAGGTTTCCGATCATTCGACATAGATCATCCACGCTGGTGATTTACAATAGTATCCTCTTCAAAGATCTGAACTTACAACGCTGTCAGGCCGTGAAAAGTTCGAAAACCTTAGTCTGTACACTTAGGCATAATTAAAGACCTTATCATCTTGAAGCGTAGACTGATTATACATGGTCTGAAAGTCGAGTGACTTATGAGACTGAAGAAACGCAACATAGATTATGAAGGCTGTAATACTTTCTTCAAACAGACTTAAAAGACACATTTTTACGAGTTTCACAAGATGAAATTTTGAGCGAGCTAACTACTACCAATTCACTGTTCTGATGGTTAGGTTACTACTCCTTACTTTTTGAACTGAAGTTTTTACCTAATACAGTTCAAAATGCTATAAATCAAACTGTTATACGTTCTAGTGCTACTGAATCTTACCGAGATTAAATCGTAGTTGCCATTGTAAAAGTGATATGCGGTCTTTAAAGTTACTTGAACTCCTTTGTGATATAAATATTTCTGTAAGGCCATAACAACGACGAAATAGCCATCTAGTCTTCTATGAAGCTGAACATCTGCTAATTAGGAAGATTTACACTAAACATTTGATTTTTGATGAAAAATATTGAATATCAATGTATATCTATGACTTTTGTTGCACAGTTAAGCGCAATAATGCCAATGTTGTACCTAAGTTCCACAAACCCTTTCATGTGCCTGTTTCAACCTAATTCTATCAATGTCTAGGCTATATTATAGATGATAAAGGTTTAAGAGTGATATGAATCGTCTAATCTCACTTATTCAAGCACCTAAGAATTCTCCAGAATTTAGAAAATGGATTGATAGTCTTCGGTTTTACTACAGATGACACATACATTCTTACATTTTGTTATCTCAGAGTTAGCATGGAAACAACGACAATAACATCAAGAAAACTTTGACGCTCATGGACCATGAGACTTTCCTCGGACCAGTTTGGTCAACTGAACAGTACATTCTCACCATAGGTGCATTTCCACTGGGGATAGGTGCAGTTCAGAAACAGAATATGAAAACTCTAACACTTATTTTTGGATGGTTAAATAAAGTGCTTTTATTATTCCGAATTAAAGATGACTCTGAAATTGTGGTCTGCTCTGTATCATTTCTTGGACATTATGTCTGTTTTTTGTCACACGTTCCAGTTGTCATTTGTTGTTTGAACACTTTCTCTCAAGGTTTTCTCTACTTTCGTCTGGGGAGCGCGTTGTCCAAATTACGAAAGTCAATACCAATGTCCAACAAGCGTCCTTCATCAGTCCCTCAAAAGGGACCTAGTTCTTTTAAAAAACCAAGGTAGTTTTGGGAGAATTATTTTGTGGAACATAAAACCTTCAACCTGTAGATATAGTGGTATTTTCGAGATTAAAGTATCTCAGCATTGGTATCCCGAACTCTCAATTTTGGGGAAAATTTGACTCATTTTGGGGAAATTTCGGGGAAATGGCACAAAACCACCAAATTTATCCAGACTTGGGGAAGTCTTACAATATTGCTCCCAAAATTCCCTTTTGACCAAGGTCATTTGACTTCGGGGATTCCCCCAAACATTAGTGAATGTCATTTAACTTCGAGAGTTTCTTCAAAACACCACAAAATTCCTCCAAATTTGGTACCTCGGGATTGAGGCTGCACGCGCCTGTAACCAAACTTATATGTGATAGACCTAGCGTCATGGAAACTTAAGGGTTATTTAGTTAATAATACTAATCTTGTTGAAAGCGAGGTTTGTGCGTCTGTTGGGAAACCCTTGTGTGACCTTAGAAAGATTCGTCTCTCTTGAGTCCAAAGAGATTATAACATAATGCGAGGAACTAGGATTAGGGTTGGGAGTTAGAAGGTAGGGTTAGGATTTAGAGTTGGTTTTTTCATCACAAACTTACAGTTATGATATCAGAATGCTATCTAAACTAATGAATCGGTGAATTTCTCCTCGAAATCCTGAACTCGTTTTCTTTTATCTGATTGGCTCGTTCACAACCTATTATCTTGCCTGTTTTTACTTTGCCAAATAATACAGCTTGGTTTGGGTGCTCATCTCGTAACATAATTTGACCGTTTTTATTTTTAAGGATGGCACGGGGCAGTCAGTAAAAGGGTATTTCGAATTTCTTCTTTGCAATGCAGTTGAACCGATGCTTTTACGGTATTAGACCGAATCCTAAGTTTGTTTGGCAGTGATTTTAGTGGGGTGGTGTTACATAAATACTATGCGTACTATCCGTTTGTCTCGTGACTGATGACCAGTAGTATAGGCGATGTAACAAATCCAGGTTTGATAGATAAATCTATAAAGTTACTCAAGTTTACAGCAAGTGAGTCAATCTAACCTGAGCAATGTGTCATTTGGTGACAAATCACAGATTTGTCGGTTAATTGGCTTGCTAAAGTTATGATTAATTATATCAAGATAAATGAATTATGCAGGCTAATATCAGTTCGACAGTAAGATTCAGTTCGCATTAACTAAAATGTTCATTTCTCTTCAACCAGAGGTAACCACGATGATACTCCAGAGCCCTCAAAGTTCGAGCAGGAATTAATGTTGTTGGATGACATCGAAACTGAAGATATAGCTTTGGTGGACGAAAGTTCTGCTTTGTCTCATCTGGACTTGCTAACGAATTCGCATTGGCCAAGACGTAGGTTGGAGAAGTTGGATCCAAATAAGGACAATATTATTTTCCAGCAGTTTGATGTGTCACATTATAAAGTTAGTTTTAGAAAAAAATATATATTATTGTACTCCAAACATACCTTTATCGAGTCTAAGAGTTAAATTTTTGTGAATAGTTTGATTTATTAGGCGATCGTAATTTCTACTTTGTACGTACTTACCACCCGTCAAATAACACACTACTCGTCAAATCACTATATTACTTGAACAGAAGACAACTTTCATGCTGTTTGTACTTTTTTCATATTATTTGAGCTTGATAGATTATTTCTTTATTGCCGTCATCGATTGGTGTTACGAATAGCTTTAATTACTTCCTTTGATCCAGTTATTCGGTAGTTATAAGTTTCGTTTTGCGATCTTTATAGTTGAGGATTTGCATCTGTATAGTGTTGTCTACATTTTTCATCATCGTGTGGCTGTTTTAAATGAAATACTTTGCTTACGCAATCTTCATTTCAGTGATATGTGTAAATTCAGCCTTTCTGAGTTTTATACTTGTTGGTGGTCATTTACGTTATGACCTTGATTTTCTGCCCACTACTCTGTATGTACTACGAAGAGTTCGTCTCAAACTAGATTTAGGGATTGATATGCTAGGCTACGCAGCAAAACCTCGAGACTCGTAACGCATGAGTTTCATTCGTGACTGAAAAACCTTGAGGGTAGAGAGAATAATTATCGTACAACTGATTAGTTGGCAAGCGGCAAGAAAAGACGATTTATCAGGAATTATTGGAATGAGTAATAATATAACTCAGTAAGGTGATGCGGATTCAGGGGATTCAACAATAAGTTACAATTCCACGTAACAAACTCGGAGTCACCTCGATGCATTGAACAGATCTGAATTTCAGCTGTCGAGTTGTAAGCAAGAAATTCAAGTTATCTATTTCTTTATTGACATTCATGTCCTCTCACTAACTCTTGTACAAACAGTGCGATTCAGAAATTACCCATCACGTATGTTCTATTCTGATTTATCACTATAATTTGAATAGGTTTGTAATTTAGAGGCTAGAGCACTTTGGGTTGGAATTCCCTTTCCTACATCTGCGTTACTTCCTTTCGCCTTATAAAAATCTATCTTACCATAGTGAATTAAAGATAGATGTTCCAAGTCTAGATGGTTGTGTTCATTTCTGAGGATATGTAATGACATTAATTTGTAGTCAAATTTAAAATGTACAACTTGATATGTTTTACATGTTAAAATATAGTCTGATAACTTGATATGTGTTTTCTTCCCTAATTCTGGGTTTCTGTTTCATCCATTGAGGGCTGTACGTCATATTTTATATAGAGCTTGTATATCTCAGTGCACGAACGTTAATAAAGCCTTCTAGGAAGGTGATGGCTCATCTGGATAGTATTGTCATTTTCTAGCGGCACACATGCCAGACTGCAATATGTTTTCGGTGTGAAATTATGTGATTCAGAAATCTCGGCACTTGTGAAACGTTAATCCGATAATACGATAAAGTAGTGGGCTAGAATGTTTGCCATTGATCATTCACCCTTATTCACACTCCCGCTATTCTCCAGGCACCTCGAGGTAGAAGCCGAATTTTAATTGGGGCTTGGTTACTTTTTACTTATTCAATTTTCAGTTTCTATTTCATCTACTTATAGTTTTCTACCTTACTTTTTCTACATACATATTATATACTTAAAAATACACTGTTATCCATTATGTTTACGAAGTTGATTCGCTTAATGTAATTTTACAAGAATCGTAAAAATAAGCAGCGTACAGTTTATAGTAGAATCTTACCTCGATGGTCAAAATTACCCATAGAATTTTCATCAAGATACATTAATGTAATAAAAACGATTTGAATTATAATGTCCTTTTCTACCTTTGTTAAGTATTCACCATTAGATAAATAGTACTAGATTAGGAAATAATATTCCAATTCATATACTGTTTTCATACATGCTCCACTGTGTTTGGAACTTACAAAATGTTCTGTATTTATGCATAGTTGACGAGTTATTCAGTCGACTTAACAAATAATATTAGTTAGTTGTTGAGAAACAGGTGAAATATATTTCCTTAATAAATGGTTTTGAAGTTCACATAGATTTTGAATGAATCTAACGAATAATGCCCTTGTTTTCAAACAATTAATTTCAGAAGTATTGTTAAGTGATCTAGTTTCTTTAAACTTATTTACATCGTAAGTTTAAATTGATTGGAGTGATTAATACATGTGTTACTCATCCCTGACCATCCATATGGAATGTTGTCTGACAATGAAAATATTTCTTGTTCTATGATAATCTGTTGTGTGTACGAATGAAGTCTTTTCTTTCATGCTAACCTCGTTTAGTATTACATGTTACTAACACGGATTTGCGTAGTTTCCTTCTGTAGTCAGAAAACCATTTCACAAGGTTGTAATGATTTATGTATATTTTTTCCAGGGTGAACATTTAACTGGTATGCCTGGTGCTACTCAAAGTCCTGTACCAATTATACGTTTGTTTGGTATAACTGAAAAGGGTCATAGTGTATGCGCGCATGTGCATGGTTTTCTACCATATTTCTATGTACCAGCACCGAAAGATTTTTCAACAGATCATTTGAATGCTTTTCGTGAAGCCTTAAATTCTATGTTATTGAAAGAGAAATCAAAAGAGTTTGAAGGATTACAACACCTCGTACTTAGAGTTACATGTGAAGAGAAACGAAGTAAGTCATTTCGATTGACATTTGAGGTGCTATTCCTCTATTATCCATCCTACTGCGTTTTCTTTCTGAACGTTACAACAGTATTTGATACTTGCTTTTTTGATATCTCTAAGCTTTTTATTTAGTAGTCAAGCTGACTCTGAATGTTCTGATTTTCTTGGACGTTATTAGTTAAGAATGTTTTTCTTTTGAATCGTGATCATATTGAGTGGTTCAGTCAGTCAGTTATACTGAACGTTGCGATACCAGATTATCACAGCAAGATAAGATTATTTCAAGACGAATCACAGAGTAGTAGGATTAGTAACATTATCAGTAGTAATACCAGTAATGTAGTGAGCGGAAACTCAGGTAGGGAAAGCTAATTTATTGTTTAATGCAAAGTTACAGTGTTTTGGTCAAATATGGAAACCATAGGTCAAATACATTATTTGCACATTTTTTTCGTGTTGTTCTTTACATGCTGTATTATTCCTCTAATTCTGTTGTTATTTTGATTGCTCTCCAACTTTCTGCTCTCTTCATTCCAATCTGCTAACAGGCATTCATTCCACTTCCTACTGGTGTTACATACTACTTATGTCGTTCAGCATAAGTAGTATACACCACAGTAGTAGGAAAGATTCAGTGCAGAAAAATGAAAAAGGTATACGATTTCAGGACTCAGGTTGTTAAGGAAGGGTGAGTGAACCTACCCCATTGAGAACGATCCTAAGAAATGTCACCCAAAGCCTTTAGCAATTGGTACGATCACTCAAATCCCAACCAGTTAAGCTACACCTATTAACATGGCTCAGTTCAGTTTTCAGTGACTTCAATTACTGATACTCTATATTGATTTGCTACCCCTAACTTTCTTTCGACCGACTTCCACACCAGATATCATCGCGTGTCGATGTAGGCGGTAATTGGACCTACTCAATACACTTGCCAACAATCCCACTTAATGAAGATCACTACCTGATCAATCGATTTGTAATTCGTGCGTAGTAGTTTATACCTAACCCCAGAATTGCTCCCTGGTTTGTCCGGAAACATATGAGTGATGCTTGGAAGAGATTTATAATTGAATACTCATAATAGATGAAACTCCTCGATTGTAGGTGGTCATGTTTGACAGTAATGAAATAGAACGAGTTGAACTACTATGCTTTGATTTGGTCCTTTAGTTGCTCACAATTAAATGTGTTGCAACCATCTCACAAATCAAATATTTTAAAAGGATTCAACCCAGATACAGACGATCATATGGTCTCTGTTTACCAATAAACCATGTTGGATAAAGTGACAGTACTTGGGTTTGGGTAAAGGGATATATTTGCTGTGTTTAGTCTTTACTCCTACGATTGATACTAACTACTACAACAACTTATTTGTCCTGCATTTCATCAATTTCGATTTTTCTGTATCGATTTAGTGTTGCAACTTTGATAAAATACTCATGTATACCAGATTTTATAGCTGAACGACTGATTTATATTGTTAGTTGATGATAGATATAGAATGGCATAAAACTCGTCATCTTTAGTTAATAATATTTATTAAACATATTTATGACTTATGAGAAGTATTGTCTTCTAATACCTTGAAGGCCATTTCTTTTTCTTTGCGATAATGTTCAGTTTTGTACGATTATTGTGACAGAACATAGTTATGAGTGGTTGACAGTAGTCGACAAGAAACCTTAGATCTAGACCTCATTACGTGAGGGTTCAGATCCAACAAAAAGTGATAAGTTTCCTCAATACTGCAGGTATGGCTTGCTGATAAGTACCAGCTAGCACGAAACCTAGACCCCTCGACTGCATCGTACAATGCAATACACACAATATCGACTAACTTAGACAAGTAGTTACATTCTATCTCAATCCACTGAATTCGATCAGTACCAAGGATAAACATGTTTCTAATTCACTACTCGATGATCAATCAATAGTGAACTACCATAGTTTTGTCATAACATATGTTGGTTTAAGCGCTCAATAACACAAATTGTTATTTCTTAATAATATGAGTTTTTTTCAAACCAATATTTGTTATAACTTCCATAGATGTATACGGTTTTCATGGAAATCGTAGTCTACCATTTCTTCGTATTACTTTGGCATTGCCACGTTTAATTGCACCAGCTAAACGTATATTAGACAATGGTTTATCATTTGCTGATTATTCATTACAAGTTAGTTTATAGTTCAAATGATTTCTTTTTTCATTGTCTGTGTAATTTATTTACACGATTATCTACTTTTTATAATGCCCAATCAATATTATATCTGTCTCTCCAATCCCCTAATTAAGTGAGGTATGGTTCGAAACTGCAGGGATGTCAGTGTTTGTGTACCAATCAGAATCGAAAACATAACTCTGATGCATTTTATTCGGAATTCAAATATCAAGTATAACCAGCAGTAGAGTTATCTTTCTATCCGGCACCGAACGTTCAAACTAATAGGAAGAGATTATTTTTTTAGCACCATGAAGTAATAATAATAGTGTTAAAGAAAAAAAAACGTCCAGTTTTTCCTGTAGATTGTTTATACCAGGTAAATTAACACTATACTTAAACCATATTCTGAAATTTCCTATTCCCGAAGTATTCCTTAACGAGTTGGTTCTATGTCTTATGAAGGAACTAATCAGATAATGCCTCTTTTGAGCGAAATTCATTTATCTATGTGCCTACAAATAATTTTTTTGCATTAAATCTGATGTCAACTCATGATAAAAACCGTAACCCTTAATCGTAATCCTAACCAAGAATAGTGTGGTTGTTCCTTAAAAAATTATTTAGGTTCTTTTAAGAGTTCCAGAATATGGACATTATGTATTCATTAGGACAAGTTTATATGTCATTGTTCTTTCAATTTAAAGTCAGAGCAACCTATAGACGACTTTAATCGATTCATTATTTATGCAAAATCTGTTTACAGTTTGTAATTTGATTATATTCTTTACCATAAACTATTCACTTAGAAAAGCTGCTTTTTAGTTGACTAGTTGCTAATCAAAAATTCGTCATGGTTGATTTAATCTTATCTCCATGCTTATTCCGGTTCTGATTTACCATTGTGAGGTGCTTGACTCAGTTTGAGGAAAGTCTCTGTTTGAAATTCATTTCATATCTTTCCGCCAGTAGAAGCGATTGATTAATAGTTGAATAACTGTTTTCAATAGCTTGGTTACATGTTCATAATTGCATTTCATCTACTTTATTCAGAGCATAACCAGGCATTTGTACAAGCCGTCAATATGTCCGAAAGCTTATACCGTAGATTTCTACTTGATAAATTAGTTATGTTAATCAATATTAATCAATTGATACCTACAATCATACCAGGTTTATGTGGTAATCAATCGCCAGTCATCTTTAGTCTCTCCTAATAATGAGCCAGTTTGTGGAAACTTTGGAGTAAATCTAAACAAAGTTATAAACTGAATTCATTTCTCGGCATATATATATAATCATATGTAGAGTATATAAGACATTTAACACCATGATCTTTTACTGGTTTGATATTATAGTAAAGGCCATAGCAGCTCACCTACATTTGAGTTTGTATATGCTTCGTTTTGTTAAGCCCTCCAATTAACTTATTTAACAGGCATTGTCGTTAGGTTGGTCAGTAAGGCTTCGTCTATACCTTTGTGGTATTATTATCATGTTTGTATGGGCGTGTATGGCTGACCACGTGTCATAACCCACATGCACACTTCTCTTACTAGTTGATATATATATGCTTTTTAAATCATAATAATTCATTCGTTCGCTTGTATTTATTCGCATTCACACTTATGTTTGTGTTTTTGTGATCTGCTCTGTCCAATAATTAACTGTAATCAACGCTTCCTATTGTCTTCTGAAACACATACATTGTTGCGAGTTATGTAGTGACGTTTATTTGGATGAGTAGTTTACGAATCATTAGGAATTATTTCAAAGGTATTCCGCTGTAATATATTTCAAATTTCAAATATTTGTGTACTTTTGCACCAGTTCATTCAAAATTAAGGCTAAGAATTACGCAGATAAGTTTAGGGTTAAACTATGATAGGAATCCGTCAACTGAATAACTGCCCCCAATTGCCCTCGTAACACCGAGAGTGGGGAGAGTCTACTCTCCAAATGCTCTCACATGGCCACGCGTATACAGCCTCTGCCAGGGAAGTCCTACTCACTGCCTTCTCGTGGTAGGGGTATTGTTCACGAAATTGCGAGGACGAAAAGCGAATGTTCGGCGCTTTAACCGGGTTGGTGGACATGGCGAGTCCACCTAGGGGAGTTGGAAAACCCTCATTCCAAACCGATGGTGCACATGGAATCCAGTGTCCTGAGAGAACAAATGGCGTATGAACTTACTGTTGGTCACCGACTAACATGGGACCATATCTCCTTACGATGCTCCACTGCCTTGTGGATCAGACATTTAGGTAGAAGGCTCCGGGTGTGGTCGTTCCTAAGAAAACCACCTGGTTCGGTTTGGGCACCCGAACAGTATTACAGCCTTTACACATATCAAATGAGATTTGTGTGACGCATATGTATTTGGTGCCTCTTTGTACCAATATCTATGTGTTATAATAAATAAATAAACTGGTCTTCAATAATTTGTAGATGTGTCTAACTTTTGGTGTTAATTAGTAATCAAGGTCAAATCAATCAGTCCTAATCAACATTCAGTTTGATACAAATGTGCGTTAAGTCCTCAAGAGAGATGACTTAATATTAGTATTAATAGTATCAAAAATGATTACCCATTAAAGAATACTATTTGGATTGAAGGAATAAATTCTCTGAATAAAAAAACACGAGACTATCTTGAAGTTAAAGTCTTGTGTGAAGATAACAAGTGAATACATTTACTCCATTATAACTGATCGCTCAGACCATAAGTAGACAGTCTGGATCTACCTACATAGCGCAGTTCCAATGGACAGTGACTTTATAGACTGATGTAATATCTTCGTTTGGATAGCTTTATTTTACTTCCAACATACTCTAACACTGATGAGCATAGCATAACTAAGTAGGTGGGAGTTATGCTTATGTAATACATTTCTCAATCGATGATTATTTTAAGTGTCATCAGCTAGTTTCTCGTCGTTACATAATAACATACATTTGACGTCAACACTATCCACTCTGTCGCTCCATGTTTCTCGAGCAGCGCTTTGAAGACACTTATGTTTGAGAATTTGCGGGCTGCACATGTCTTCTATTTTCATAGACTATGTTTCACAGCTATAGAGTAATACTGAGCAGCAGTATTGATTTATATGTTGAACGCATTTATTTTATAAATGTTAGTAATAATGTAAAACTGCTCAAATCTCGAAATACGAAGAATGGGGTTCAAGTTTGTTACTCAGCATTTTGAAGTCGAGTGGTTTAACCAATAAGCCTTCATTTCAGGAGTAGCTCGTTCAAGAAACCCAATAACATGATTTGGAGGGAAATCAGTAGTACTTTCTGTTAATTTCTTACTGGAGAGCATAACTTATTTAAGAAGTACAAGTTTTTTTTGTAGGTGACTTTGGACCAATTTGTTTACTTGAACGTTAGTACTATTTTAACATTTATATAACAGTGTAGTCTTCACTGAAAACTTCATTTTAGTCTTTTAGAGCTATCTACATTTGCCTTCCATGAACACGCTACTGTAGCGCATTTCGACTTGCCAAATGGAAAAATAAAAAAAGCGAGAGTTAGTGTTTGGAATGAAATCTTCGTGAAAATCATGCTCTTATATCCACTATGGGGAAATGTCATATTGGACATTGAGATGCAGATGTACTACGAATTTAAAGACATGTATCTACTCCCACCCACTACTTGATTGTTCAAACTGAATTGAGAGGAGCGGGATTTGAGCTTGCCACAAGCCTATCACTTAACAGTTTGGTGATCTAACCAACTAAACTGTCCTTCCACTAACTGAAGTGTGTAAAAATTCAGATTATTGTTTACCGGCTTATTTATCATTAACAATAGTATACTAAAAAGATTTAATTTATGGAAAATATATTTCCCTTCTCCTTCTTTTTTCCCCACTGAATAAATACTAGTCATATCCTGCTTTTGAAGCGAATATTGACTTTGAAATACGTTTTATGACGGATACACAAATGACTGGATGTAGTTGGGTTGAAGCACCAGCACAGAAATATCACTTGAGAGATTCAACAAAGAAATCGGATGATGTGAAAAAATCCATAAATCAGAAATCAAATCATTCTGTTAGTGCCTCAACGACCTCTACTATAGATGGTTATAGTAGTGGTTCAAAAAATGGTGTTAATGATCACTCAACATTGTTAACTAGTCAAACAAGATGTCAAATTGAGTTTGATATAGCATGGGATGCTTTGATTGTTCATTCACCTGAAGGTCAATGGAGTAATATTGCACCATTACGTGTACTAAGTTTTGATATTGAATGTGCCAGTCGTAAAGGTTTGTTGAGTTTTTTTTATTACTGTTATTTAATTAACTGTCTATGGAAACAGCTGTATAAGATAGTATGTAATAGTGTTGGTGGAAATAGAGAAGATTAGAAGTCGAAGATACAAGCCAGAAAAAATAGATCAGTTCTCTAAAAAAAATTATAGAGAACTTAGAGACTGAAGATTTAGGGAAAGACAAAGGGTAAATGCACCTGGACTATTACGAATGATTCTGAGGCATGCCACTCATATTTAGAACGAGAGAAAAACTATCCTGAATATGCTTCCCTTGTTATTTAGGGTTGTCAGAAGACTGTATTTTGTCAATTTGTACGTAAGTTTTAATCTACTTTGTGGAGCTATGGCTCATTGGCTTTCAGCCACTACGTCGATAACCTGAGTCCCACTCTGTTTAGTTTACTTTGAGCAACAACTATTTATTTATTTATTTTAACACATAGATATCGGTACAGGGAGGCACCAAATACATATGCGCCAAACGAATCTCAATTGATTTGTGTGAGGGCTGTGATACTGTTCGGGTGCCCAAACCGAACCAGGCGGTTTTCTCAGGGGGCCACACCCCGAGCCTTCGACCTGAACGTCTGATCCACAAGGCAGTGGAGCATCGTGAGGAGATGCAGTCCCATGGTAGCCGGTGACCAACGATTGGTTCATACGCCATTTGTTCCTTCAGGATACTGGAGCCAGCCCATGTGCACCATTGGTTTGGGATTCGGTTAAAGCCGGTGCCGGACATTCGTTTTTCGTCCTCTCATTTTCGTAAACAACACCCTTGGTGCGAGAAGGCAGTGAGTAGGACTTCCCTGGCAGAGGCTGTATACGAGTGGCCATGTGAGAGCATTTGGAGAGGGTGAGCGCACTCTCCACACTCGGCCATACCACGGCATTTGGAGGCTTGAGCAACAACTGGATGGTATGATTACTGAACTTCGAACTTGAAATGTTCATAGTCACCTATACAAATTTGTACATGATCAATAAGTTGCTCTCTTCCAAGTTAATCTCCATTCTTAGAACGTATAGTTCAACACTTCTCAGTTTTGTATAGTAGAGTAAACTGTTTATATACAATTGGTGCTTTTTTATCATTGTCAATGGATCTGGTCATATACGTACGCCAGATGAACTAATATGTATTTGAGAATTCTATCGGAGAATTTTTGTATTAAAATCAATCCACATTAATTAACAGTACTATTGAGCTAGCTTTCCGTGTTTGCATAACTATTATGATGACTGGCTGATAAATCGGTCCTTGGAAATTTAATCATAACCCAGATAAGCTATTGCATCGATGAAAACCGTCCCATTTATCGTATGATATAGGAGTAAGTTGGAAGAAATCTAAAGGTAGTCAAACTGAGACATTGGATTAATCCATTAAGTCTTAGAGCTTTGAAATAAACCATGTTATTAGGTACAAACTACATAGTTAACGTTTCCATATGGTCATTTTAGCTAGTTGGTTGGAGATGTTAAACGAAATAGCCCAGAAATCAGTCCTGATGGTACAGATGCATTAAACTTTATTCTATGAATTCATTCCTTCTTATTATGTACACTTAATATTTTCCAATATCACTAATACTGTTACCGTACTCTATTGCTCCATTATTTCTCTTGACAGTTTCATCTTAATACGAGACAACTTAAACTGATTCATATATGTCCCAGGTTCTATGTTACTTACGACTGAATAAATGCCTGTTTTATCATTGTCATCGTATTATCATCAGAGGTGATGTGTTTGTATTAATTATAGGTGTAAAATCTATTCATCTGGATTAAACTAGAATCTCATCGATCATCAAATGTCACTTATATGATACCTATTGCCATGAAATTATTCATTTATTTACATAAAACTTCATTTTCAATTCACTTAACTAGGTGTATTCCCTGTACCCGATAAAGATCCAGTTATACAGATTGCTAATATGGTTACTAACTATGGGGAAACAACACCATTTATACGTAATGTATTCACATTGAATACATGTGCACCAATTGTTGGTTCACAAGTTATTTGCCATCAAACGGAAGAAGAACTGTTAGCTGTAAGTATAAAGCTGTGTTGTATGCATATGGTCTATTTATTACTGTATCTATACATGTGATTTATATCGCTAATTAAGACTAATTAGAAAATCACTGAACACTAGAGAAAGACTTCTGGAATGTTTCTTCACCCATCTGCCTTATATGAAACGAGATTTAATTGCGCAACTAGGTGTCAGTCTATGAATACTCTGACTATCCAACTAAAGTATGTAAGCAGATGCAGAATACCTGGTTGGTGTTCGCGTTATTATTGTAGTCAATGCTTAAAGACTTTGGATGGCATGGCTCAAGATTGTTCACAGTGGTGAGGATGCATTCACTCATTGACTTCTCCCAAATTTTGAACTTCTTAACATCTTTTTTTATTTGCATAATTTGTAATTATTGAGATAATCTCTTCGGTGACTAACCTTTTCTATTAGCATTAATACTGTTACTACCTCTATTACTCTGGAAAATACTCTTACAATTTCATTCCGCCGTACTAATCGGGTATGGCAACTTAAACTAATGTACATACGTCCCATATTTTACGTTGCGTCCGAATAACAGATGTTTACGAATCCCTAATTGTTGTATTTTAATGCCTAAACATATAGGTCACTGGTCATGTCTCTGAATATGAAATTGAGCGACACGTGATCAAATCCTCCAGAAAGTATCAGTCCCCTCAAGATTACAGGTGTGTATATCTAGTCAACAAATACCTGATAGAATAAAACCAAAGTTCAGTGTTTCCTGTCGATTAACTCCAACCACCAACTCACAGCTTAACATGGTACACGCCATGTCGAATCACTTAGACTAGTTACCATATTGCATTTTGATCGATAGAATTCGATCAGCACTCCAAAGAACTTGACATACATGACATTAGTCACTACTCAATGATCAATCAATTGTAAATATATAAATGTGTAGTTGTTATTTTCTATTTTTTGTTATATTACTAGAATTGGTCAGTGTTTGTGCGTGAAGTTGATCCAGATATAATCACTGGTTATAATATACAAAATTTCGATCTGCCTTATCTTATTAATCGTGCTAAAACCTTAAAAGTTGATGGTTTTGAATTTCTTGGTCGTATACGTGGTGCACGTTCTACAATACGGGAAGCTATAACTCAATCAAAACAAATGGGTCGTAGAGAAAATAAATTTGTAAATATTGATGGACGTGTACAGTTTGATTTATTGCAGGTTAGCTTGTTTTTTTTTTCTATTGACGTTTATACATTATGCCATCTTAGATCGACCATTGTTCCACCTGTGTGTAGTTTTTTAGTCAGCATGCTTCTTACAACTTTACTTCATGTTTTTACTTTCTACTGTAGAATTTTTTCTATGACCCATTTTCTAGGTTCAAATTGTTTGTGTAAACACGATTATGATATGCTACCCGGCTGCCCAAAGCGAATTATTTGGGGTTGGGTTCAAACCCGAAACCTATTTAGTGGTTCAATATCGAAGGTAGTTGTTTGTCATGATCACCGTCTTGCATATATATGTATGCATCATGGAAAGTGAAATAATTCGTAGTAGTGATATCGCCAATGTTGTAATACTTCATTTTCCAACTCGGTTATTTTATGTTTATAAATTTTTATGAATTGATATCACACTTGTGATGGGAATACCTGAAAAGAATACTTCTACATGCAGTAGACAGTGATGTTGTTAGGAATAACATCGTTCTAAACGATGGGCGGAACACAGCTATTGCCTTTTCCATCTCTTTTGCTTTCATTGCCCACCACTGCTCACTATCCTTCCGTAGATTTTTGGCTAACCTAAATCTGATTTGTTTTCATTCTTCATCATGTTCGAAGCCTGATGGGTTAAGTTTAGAAGTCTATCAGTACAATAGATTTCGATGCTGTTTCCACATCCGTTCGTATATCTTTCCAAGTAACATCTGGGTAGTGTGAAATCAGTTGTTCCTGGAACTTACCGTTGGATTTCTGGTCACTGAGTTCAACTCTGATGAGTCTTCTTAATGTGGCTTATCTGTATCCAGTGAGGCGCAAGTGAATGCGTGCTCGTATTAGAGCATGGTCGATGCCTAAATATGTATTCCAGAACGAGCGGTATTCTTCCATCGAGCCCCTCCATTGATGATTGACGGCAATGTGGTCTATTTGAGTCCATTGTTGGTTTTCTTCAGGGGGTCGCAATGTTAGACGATGTCTTTCCTCATGCTTAAAATTAGTACTAGCTAAAAATAAACGGTTGTTTCCGTGTTAGCTCCGTATTTGTTGGGACCTTACCGTCAGAGACGGATATCCGTTGGATAAGACGAGGTGTGCGTTTTTAGGTTTGACCTTTCCTAACCCCCCACCCTTCCTTATGAAAAGACAGCATCTCTGTTATGCTGGTTTTCTGAAGGGAACACCTTACTGTCGTTACACAGTCTACAGTATGACTTCACCCTCGGACTTTGAGTTTGCCGCTTTTAGTCTTACCGCTCTTCGACTGACCTGCCTGTCTAGCATGGTAGGATCTCGAGGAACTGTTGCATCAACCAGTAAAACCTGATTGGTTCATTATTTATTTATTTATTTTAACACATAGGTATTGGTACAAGGAGGCACCAAATACATATGCGCCACACGAATCTCAATTGATTTGTGTGAGGGCTGTAATACTGCCCGGGTGCCCAAACCGAACCAGGTGGTTTTCTTAGAGGGCCACACCCCGAGCCTTTGACCTGAAGATCTGATCACAAGGCAGTGGAGCATCGTAAGGAGATGCAGTTTCATGGTAGCCGATGACCAACGGTTGGTTCATAAGCCATTTGTTCCCTCAGGATAGTGGAGCCTATATGCATCATTGATTTGGGATCCGGTTAAAGCGCCGGACATTCGCTTTTCGTACTCTCATTTTCATAAACAACACCCTTGGTGCGAGAAGGCAGTGAGTAGGACTTCCCTGGCAGAGGCTATGTACGCGTGGCCATATGAGAGCATTTGGAGAGGGAGAGCGGACTCTCCCCACTCTCGGCCGTACCAGGGCATTTGGGGGTTCATTACGATAGATAAGCCTGATCACCACCACATCAAGTTAGGAGTAACGGTCCGGCATGAATGTATCACTCTGATACACATCCATTGTTATTTATTAACATGTAAATACTAAAATATGTTTGATCAATTAATTTATGATAAAACTTATCCGTTTTTTCGTAGTAAAATGGTGGTCACTACCGAAATTCTCAGGTTTTCACTTTCTTACCGATTCATTATTTATTAAATTTGACCCGAACTGGACTTTGGTATATTACAATATTCCTTGCCTGTATCAATTTTAAAAATAGTTTAATTCATGGATTGACCGTAACTGTGAAAGAATCATGTAAAACCTAGGATACTCTCTGGACATCTATTTCATCTTAGTCCACTATGATCTAATAACCTTGCTAGCGATCTTTAAGCGTATAGGATCATAGATATGTAAGACGTTGAGGTAAACGTATCACTTTTAAATAAAACTACTCTAACAACATCCAATCGTTTACATTTCTAACTTTAGTCAATTCATCATTGAATTTAAACTATTTGTTTAAATGGCTTTTAATATTATTACATCATTTATAAAATTGTTCTTCCTGTCAGTTATTTTATTTAAATTTCATTTCAGATATTATTTCGTGATTATAAACTTCGAAGTTATACATTGAATGCAGTTAGTTATCATTTCCTTGAAGAGCAAAAAGAAGATGTACATCATAATGTTATTACTGACTTACAAAATGGTGATGCTCAAACACGAAGACGTTTAGCTGTTTATTGTTTAAAAGATGCTTATTTACCATTACGTTTATTAGATAAATTAATGTGTATTGTAAATAATATTGAAATGGCTCGAGTTACTGGTGTACCATTAACATACCTACTTACTCGGGGTCAACAAGTCAAGGTTGGTATATTGTGTATACCTTTGTTGTGCAAATATTTTTCCTTATCAGTTGGATTCGTGAGCCAATGTAAGCTAGACTACCATTGAAAACCTGGGACATAAAACGGCCTTTTCGTATTAGAATAGGGTGCGCACTGTTGAGGGGTCCTATACTAGGATGAAAAGGCCATGCAGTGCTTCCAGGTTTTCATTAGTGGTCTAGCGCAGACTGACTCGCGGATTCGGCCTTGAAATTTACTTTTTGTTTGAATCTTTGACTACTAATATTTAGTAAGTAGCATAAATCTATATTGAAGTATTTCGTGATTCCTAATGTATTTTATGTTTCTTTAACAGGTTGTGTCTCAATTATTGCGTAAAGCCCATGAACATGGTTATTTATTGCCAACATATCAGTCGCAACAGGGTGATGAATTCGTTGGTGCAACTGTACTGGAACCACGCAAAGGTTTTTATAATGAACCGATAGCTACATTAGATTTTGCTAGCCTATATCCAAGTATAATGATGGCTCATAATCTATGTTATACAACTTTGTTACAAGTGAATACAACACCGCATGGTTCAACGGGTGGCGGTATTCAAGCACTTGTTCAGCGTTATAATTTAACTGATGAAGATTATATTAAAACACCGACTGGAGCGTATTTTGTTAAATCACATATCTGTCATGGTATTTTACCGGAAATTTTACAACAGCTTTTAAGTGCCAGAAAAAAGTAAGGACCCGTCACGGGTGGCCTTTTCAATTAGAAATTCTATGAGATAATCATATTTTAACTAGTTATCTGTTTCTATATAGATTTCTTAAAATTCTCGTTACAAAATCAAACTTGTACACTCTACTTATGAAGGATAGAACGGTCACTCTGCTATTAGGGATGTAAATCATCGGAATCTCACTGAATGACTTGATTGTATCGCGTTTAACACAAGACGTATGAAAAACTAATAGCTGTGTTTCTATTCCTCTACCAACATCCTAAACTGTAAATAGCATGTTTGAAAATTTTTATCTATGAAAGTTTCACGAATAATGTAGCAGATCCAGAAAATATCACTACATGTAAAGCAACGAGGTAAATTTTGTTATAGTTAAAAATTCTAATCAATATCACACATGTTATTCCTAGTTGGGTTGGCGACCTTTTGTCAAAAATTTACACACTGACCAATGAACAACAATCATGGCCTTTACGGTTTATTTATTCTTGGGGCCCTCCTAACTCAGGGGCTATTCATAAACCTCATAAAGAGAGCAAATTAGTTCTCTATTATACCTAAATCGATCATGATATAAAACTCATGCAATAATTTGCTGAAAATTCTTGATTACTCAGCACGACAAATAAGAAACCATACTTTAAGCACAGTTATATCATAAATGGTAGTGTTCGTTGCTAACAGCACATAATTAATTAGCAACAATTAGGCAGTAGTAAAAGGTATAATGTTAGTCAATACGTTCAGTGTACGATTACAATAAGAATATTGAAATGAAATAAAGATATGGTAATAATCATCTGAAAAATAGCCTTATGAGTTTCAACTTGCCCAAGATTCGTCCAACTAAAATACATTTCACTCATTAATCTTTTCCTATGTTTCCTTTGATTTGGAATCTGTGGTTGTCAAGAATTTCTTCGTTTAATAAAAGTTTAGTCAAATGCAAATTCTAGTCAGCATACTTCACTGTTAAATGGGTGGGTGTGGTTAACCGCCTACTTACCTCTAACAGTACATGACTAAAAGCGGAAACATATGGTTCGAATTCGCATTTATATTTTTCACTATACTGGAGTGTGATAGTAGCAGGGTTTTCCCTCGGAAAATCACTCTCTGCAATAAAACTGCCTTCTCACTATAGAAGGATAGCTTCGGAATCGGCTTACACGTTTAACAGTACCAAACACCACCTTGTTCACGATTGAATACCCTTTGATTTAAAAAAAACACTTATTAAACATTACCACAGGCAACTAGAAAAGCGTTTAAGCTAAATTTCTTGACATATGTTTCGTGAATTCATAATATACTGCTTTTCACTGATAAAGTCCTTCTGTATTCTAAAATATCATTTGCCTTTTTAGTTGTTGAATTCAACTTTACTACTGATCACATTTAGTATTTCATACAATATGTTGATTAGTTTCGAAATTATTCTGTTTAATGAATTCGAAAAAGACTAAAAAGGTAGGACCAATGATCGGGCCATCAGAATTCAGATGGTAGTGTTGAGTAACGTGTTATATAGAAACTCCAAAGGAGTTACTCTTAGGATTAGGATATATCAGTAAGACTTCTGAGTTAAGGTTTGTACCGGAGTGGAAGAATGCTTTGCAGCTACAAACAAATATTTATTTGCTTAAACACATAAAAATTGGTAGAAAAAGGCACCAGAATAAATATGCGCCACACATATCGTTGTATGCGTGTGAGGGCTGGGATACTCCTCGGTGGTCACTACCTAATCATTTGGCCAAAAAGTCCGATCCACAAAGCAATAGAAAAATATTAGTAGACGCAGTTCTACATTAGCCGGTGACCAAGAATAGATTCATACGCCTTTTGTTGCTTCAGAGTCCTGAAGCCTAAGTGTTCCACTGATTTAAAATTCGAGTTTTTCAACTTCCCTAGGTGTGTCCTCTGTTCCTACCAACTCAGTTTAAGCACGGGACACTCGACTTTCATCCTCTCAGTTTCATAAAACAACATCCCCTCCATGATAATGTAGTGAACAGGACTACCATAGGATTGGCTGTATACGCCTGGTCATATGAGAGTGAATGAATAATTACTTATGCAGTCAGTTTTGAATCTCATTAGTTTGTTAAGGCATTGTTTTACTTTCCTTATCAATTTCTCTTCCCCATTTATAGAGCTAAAGCTGAACTTGCTAAAGAAACTGATCCATTACGTAAACGTGTTTTAGATGGACGTCAATTAGCATTAAAAATTAGCGCTAATTCTGTTTATGGATTTACTGGTGCACAAGTTGGTAAACTACCTTGTTTAGAAATATCAGCTTCTGTTACATCATTTGGACGTTTAATGATTGAACAAACAAAATTACATGTTGAAAATAAATTCAATATTGCTAATGGTTATAAACATGATGCTGTGGTAAGTGGCATAATATTTAAATATGTTTAAAAGGGGGGGGGCACTAGATGAATTTTTTGAGGGTTAGGTTACTGCTCGTTTCCCCAAAACCAAAGCAGGTCGTTTTCTTAGTAGGGGGTACTCTCGAGGCTTTGACTTAGAGACTAGTCAACAAACCAATGAGGCGATGTAGTATGATGCGGTCCCATGGTGGCTAGTGACCAAGAATAGGATCCTGAGGCTCATATGTAACATTAATTATGAGCCAGAGTTTTCCAACTCACCTAGATGGATCCTTCACACCTACGAGAACAGACTAACCGACGTATACTCGCTTTTCGTCCTCTTGGTTTCTTAAACAACGACCCCTCCACGATGAGACAGCAAATACGGTTTTCCTAGGATAGGTTATATACGGGTGGTCATGTCATAGCATTTCGAGAGGGAGAGGATCTCTCCTCTGTATCGTACCAAAGCATGAACTTTTCCATGTTTCTAAAATGTTTTATTTTAAAATTGAAGAATATTCAACCCTTTAACGAGTTAAAAAATGTTGGAGCTTTAAGTCTCTTTTTCCCCGTATATATACCAACCATTATAGTAGTTTCACTTGGATTTTGCAACACGTCTTCGGAAGTAGGTTGTGATTATGCACTTCACAGTTAATATACATGATTAATCAGTTAAATTTTACAATATCTACGCAATCTTAACATAAATAGGTGGTTTTAAGAGGCGGTTTTTCAAGCAGAATATCTTTAGCTTTGAATTTCTCTTATTTATTTTAACACATAGATATTGGTACAGGTAGGCACCAAATAAATATGCGCCATACATATCTCACTTGATATGTGTGAGGGCTGTGATACTGCCCGGGCGCCCAAGCCAAACCAGGTGGTTTTCTCAGGGGGCCACACCCCGAGCCTTTGACATAAAGGTCTAACCCACAAGGCAGTGGAGCATCGTAAGGAGATGCAGTCCCATGGTAGCCGGTGACCAAAAATTGGTTCATACGCCATTTGTTCCTTCAGGATACTGGAGCCAGCCCATGTGCACCATTGGTTTGTAATCCGGTTAAAGTGCCGGATATTCGCTTTTCGTCCTCTCATTCTCGTAAACAACACCCTTGATGCGAGAAGGCAGTGAGTAGGACTTCCCTGGAAGAGGCTATGTACGCGTGGCCATGTGAGAGCAATTGGAGACGGGGAGCTGACTCTCCCCACCACCAGGGCATTTGGGGGTTGAATTTCTCTTCGAATAATAAAAATTGACTGAATGTTCATTTTGTAACCGTTTATTTTATTTTCTATTTCATAGGTTATTTATGGTGATACAGATTCAGTGATGTGTAAATTTGGTGTATCCACAGTAACGGAAGCTATGGAAATAGGTCGTAAAGCTGCTGAAATCATATCTGAAGAATTTCCTAAACCAATTCGATTAGAATTTGAAAAGGTATGTTCTTGAATATATTTTCTATAGAAATAAATATTCATTAGATATTTCTACGGATATCATTGAACGTAATATCTTGAGCCTGTTAGAAGTTTCCAAATGGATGGTCTTTTTATTCAAGTAGCTTGATTGTCTCGTATATATGGAGTTTACTTATCAGTATCAACTTCGAAACACCGCTCGTTTTAACAGTAGACATTGTTAATATGAGTGATGAACTATACTTATAAGGCTTATCGGTCTCTTCTTTGAATTACACTTAATGTAGTAGATTGGACGATTTAATTTTAGTTAATCTCATGTGATGAGTGGGTAGGATATGCGATATGACGTGCGGTGTCCAAAATTTGTTACTAATACACCAGGCTTTCTTGTATACTAGTCAAAGCAACTACTTGAGCTGAAAGACTGAGTGTGAAATTTTACTAAATAAACCGAATCGATATGTAGCCTTACGAATAGAATAACCGGCCTATATTAGTGTATGGATACTACGAATAACCCATCCAAACTTTGTAGTGATTAGTGGAATAGTTACTCCAATCCGGTTAACCGTCGCGGCGCTACCTTATTCTGACACAGTGATTATGCAAGCGTCAACGACGAAGCTAATCCGACGTTTACGCTGCAGCTAAGGATAAATTCATACGACTAAACAAGGGCCAGTGGTTTCAATATGCATCTTCATTTACATGTCCATTAGAAATTAAGCCATCGGTAGTGTATTCATTAACTCTTAGAAATGAAAGCTATTTCTTGGTCATTCACATGCACTCATTTAGTTGATTTCTCACTGGATCAATGTATCGTGATGTGATTTATATGGGGGTAATCTTCATTGACACTAATTGCTTGTTTTGTTTCAGACAAAGATAAATAGATCACTCTAACGGTAATCACAAAATTATGAGTTCAAATGTTTTTCCTTACATTAGATTTTGAAATTTATGCTACCGCTATCGAGAATACCATAGTACATATTGAGGTTTATCAACGGGAAATTATGTTTCTTGTAGAGCCTGATCTCAAAGATTTTAAAAGCCACTAGATAATCTAAATGTTGCTTCATAACCGGTTTTCATGAACGCCTGAGCTAATGACAAGGAGTGAAGTAGTTGTGTGTGTCGACCACTACTTATCTTGGGAGTCTCTTCAGTCCTGATGGTCTGGTGTTCGACAAAATCTCGGGACGGATACAGAAAGCTTGGTTAGTTTTACCCAACTTCCATTACCTGTGGCGTAGTCAAGATGTCCATTTGCTAACCGAAGAGCGAGCATACTGCGTAGCAGTTTGATTTGTATTACTCTATTTGTATGAAACATAATTCATACAAGTAAAGGATATACATAGGTTTCAGTCTTTCGATCATTGTTTACTTATCGTGAAACGACTGAATAAGTGCTATTGAGACTATGCATAGGTTATTTGGTAAAGATGGCAAATCAGCTGGCCAGGTTGTACACCCTCATCGACCGAGGCAGTTAGGATAAGTGGTTCGTATGCCCAACCACCGCCCACTTCGATGTGCGATTGTAGTTGTTAGAGTACGTCTGAATAAATGTAGGGGAGCCAAATCAAGCCTATGCATTGAAGTCACTCACTATTTGTGTAAGCCACGTCGGTACGTGCATACTACTCGGCTGGAGTCCGTGTGATAACTACGACCAGTGGTTGTAGACATTTGGTGACACATCGGTCAGAATCGGTCGCAGTAGCGTACGTAAACGCATCCACACTCTATCTTACTACATGTCTAATATAACTACCAGTGATGCCATAATTATTTTGATTCCTTTGGTATTTACCTTTTCAAATTCAGGTCCTCGTCCACTTGTGGTATGGCAACTCGGGCTAACACATATCTGTGCTAGTCTGTATGTTTATGACTAACTGTGACTGACTTAGATACTATTTTTATCATGAGTATTAGAATCCACTTTCTTTTCTCCTTCAGAATTTGAGCTTCACTATTACTTTCATTCATCTTATTTTGCCGAATGATCCCGTCTTTCCAAGCATTTCAACTGTATCTATCACATCAATTTATTTGTCAGGCATCTCGTTAATTTCATTTCACTATACTAATGTGTGTGACAATTTCGTACCATTCATATTTGGTCAGGTTCTATGTTATACATAGCTAATCGAGTTTAATGTTTATAAGTCTCCATATCGTCGTTAGTTTATTTCAATCCGTTTATCTTTCCATAATAGAAATAATCTTTCTTACGTTTATATTCATTAATTGATTTTAGGTGTATTGTCCATATTTATTGATCAATAAAAAACGTTATGCTGGTTTATATTTTACAAAACCAGATCGACACGATAAAATGGATTGTAAAGGTATTGAAACTGTACGTCGTGATAATAGTCCATTGGTGGCTAATTTAATCAATGCATGTTTAGAACGTATATTGATTGATCGGTAAGAAGATTAAAGTTTTCTTTACCTGTATGTACATTTATATATATATATATATATATATATATATATATATATATCTTGTTTGTGGAGATTTTGTGTAATGGGAATGAATTTCAAGTACTCACTGAAATAACACTGTTTTCTACTTTACACAATGGGAAGTTAATTCATCTTAGACAATTGTCTTCACTAGATACCCTTCTAATGCCTATTCCACAAGATTTCAACACAACTCAGATCGTGAACATGTGACTAACCTGAATACATTGTAAGTATATTTCTACGCTAACAACAGACAACGATCACAATAATAATAATAATAATAATAATAATAATAATAATAATAATAATAATAATAATAATAATAATAATAATAATAAGGGTAGAAAAATATATAACTCATTTAATACCTATAAGACTATCTTATTTATTTATTTATTTTAACACATATATATTGGCACAAGGAGGCACCAAATACATATGCGCCACACAAATCTCATTTGATATGTGTGAGGTCTGTGATACTGCCCGGGTGCCAGAGCCGAACCAGGTGGTTTTCCTAGGGGGCCACACCCGGAGCCTTTGACCTAGATATCTGATCACAAGGCAGTGGAGCATCGTAAGGAGATGCAGTTTCATGGTAGCCGATGACCAACGGTTGGTTCATACGCCATTTGTTCCTTCAGGATAGTGGAGCCTATATGCATCATTGGTTTGGGATCCGGTTAAAGCGCCGGACATTCGCTTTTCGTACTCTCATTTTCATAAACAACACCCTTGATGCGAGAAGGCAGTGAGTAGGACTTCCCTGGCAGAGGCTATATACGCATGGCCGTGTGAGAGCATTTCGAGAGGGTGAGCGGACTCTCCCCACTCTCGGTCGTATTTGGGGGCATCAAACTATCTGATTGAGCAAACAATCAATCATTATTTTCGTCGTCCATATATCACTTACTAATATCAAATACAAAACCGCTTTCTACCATTTTGTCTCACTTATTTTGATTTGGGTAGCCATTTCTAACTTTTAAAAACTATTTGGTAAAAATCTGAATACAGAAAACCTGTTCTTGGCCAAGGTATATTAGACTACTAAGTTCTGTTTTATTTAAGGTCATGGTTGAGGAAGTCTTACAAGTTCAAAACCAAATGGACACCTCAGTTTTTCTGCAGACTTCTCCTAGAGATTACTATCGTCCTATTTCAAGTACATTTAATGGGATTTTGTGTCATATTGGTAGTAATTTGAGAAGTTGGAAATGCTACTTTCTAAGAAAAAAAAAAGATATCACATAAGCAAACAAGTTATCACTTCACGACCTGAAATTTTATTAGCAATAATCTTTTAACTTTTGTTGTTTGAATATCTCAAGAGTTTCCATTAGGAACCTTCTATTTATGTTTGATAGACACTCGAAAACTATATACAACTTGTCACACACAAACAACAAACTATTACATAATTGCAGTATTAAAACTGACAGTTCAAAAATCTACCGATCTCTTACACTGAGGATAAATATCGAAATAGGTGTGATATCACCAACTGACTCTACTTAGATAATAATTAAAACTTGCGAAGCGCTGTTGGATTGCTTTTTCATCCTATGTATGAGACGTTTTCAAGACTGTGCGTCCTCGAGCCCTTCAGGGATTGAACTCAGATCGTGAGTTCTCAATGGTTTGTTGATAATGTGGAACTAAGAAATTCAACAATATTATTTTAACGTCAAAAATAACAATGTATTCGTTCTTCCGGTACAGAATACGGTAGATAATGCCATATAATTTATACATCAACACTAGACTGGATAATCTAATTGGGGGCACCGGATGGAAATACTAAATGCGAAAAGATCAGACCACTAGACTAATTCATGTTATGCACAAATACACATTCCTGATTAACATTTAAACATCAGATTATAGAGACCGAAGAGTTTAATCTTTCAATGAACAAGTGGTTCGTATACAATGAATTCAGAATAGAAATTTTACGTGAATCATTTACTGTGTAAAAATAGTGATTAATACTACAGATCATGGAATAGGTGTCTCTATCTGTCTGTCTTCATTCATTAACCGATTAAAGTGTATTGTAACATCAAATCTCTACATTCATCTTTACTGTTAAATAGCCAAATTCAATGGTAATATTTGTAATATCCATCCCATTGTTGTCGTATATAAATACGGGGAATAAATAACATTATTATTTTGATTTGTCTAGTCTTCGTCGATAAGGAGAATAGTTCTGACTTATCCACTACTACAACAGATCTACATAATAGAGGTGAATAAAGCGAAAGACAAAATCGTTGTCCATTTCCCTTTATTGTCTTCATTGGTTTTTTTGAATTAAAGTCATTTCGTGTTATAAACCTTTTTTTTCGAACTGGACAGTTTCTCTGCAGATTTTTCACGTTCTAATAATCAAAAGTTTTCCATACATTTTTTCTTGTTGGTAATTTTTCTCTTTTTTCAGTGATCCAAATGCAGCGATTAGTTATGCTCAATCAGTAATCTCAGATTTATTATGCAATCGTATTGATATTTCACAATTAGTTATTAGTAAAGAATTAACTAAAACCGATGAAGAATACACTGGTAAACAAGCTCATGTAGAATTAGCTGCAAAAATGCGTAAACGTGATCCAGGTTCAGCGCCAAATTTAGGCGATCGTGTACCTTATGTAATTACTGCTGTGGGTGGGAAAAATACAGCAGCTTATGCAAAAGCTGAAGATCCTCTTTATGTATTAGAGCATAATATACCGATTGATACAAAATATTATTTAGAAAATCAATTAGCTAACCCTTTACTACGTATATTTGAACCAATTTTAGGTGAAGTAAAAGCAAAATCTGTACTGTTAAGTAAGTCATTGTATATTGTTCTTTTTAAAAATTGTATCTGTTCATTACTTCTTATACCTGTTACTTACCACCACCACCGCCACCTTCGTGGAGCATAGACTACTGACCAAGAATTTTGTTTTGAACTCTCCTTTCCAATTATTGTCACGTTCTACTACATCCTCTTGGTGTGTTTTTGCGCTACTGTGCTTTTGGTCTATCTTTCTTTTGTCTTGAGATTTTCAAATTAGAATTTACCATGGGATTCAATTAGCTGGTTTTCGTAATGTTTTATCTATCCATCTACAATGTTTGTGCATATTACTGTAAATTTGTAAAACTCAACATAGCCTTCTTTACAAATCATGCAGTAATCGATATCAGGAAGGTTTATATATAGTTTTGTTAGTTTTACTTGATAGGTTGTGGATGTATAGAGTTATCCTATATATGGTGAACGAAGACTTTGTGAGGATGACCAATTTATTGTATAGTGCAAAATTACAAAGTGTTTTCGTAAATTTTGGAAGCCATATATTACATACTTCATTTACATATCTTCAGATCTGTCTATCTTTAAGCTTTTGTTTGATCCATAAATCGTTATTGTATGTCGTATCATGCTAGATTTATCATCGATTGATTACTCCTCTATTACTCCCGGTTTTGTATCATTTATGATTGAGTTGTGTACATGCTTTAATTTCTTGATTATGTCGCTGCGTGGTCAAATATTTCAAGTATGTTGTAGTAAGTCCATTCCACTAGTGTATTATTTATCTGTTCACTGTAATTTAGACACTTAATCCACCATGTAATTTTCTATGTGATGAGTATGATTGAGCACATTTCTGTACATCAATTTCTAATCTTTTCTCCTATTGGTTGTAAGACACAGATAATCCATAATTTATCCATAATCGATTAACACTCATTAATATGTATGGGTTTCTTACACTTACGCATACACACACACTCTTGGTTTCCCTGTGTGCTTGCTTGTGCTGTTCGCTTGTAGATTTTATTAATCATTAACAATAAACTATCCCTATAACTGATGTTCAAGCTTTTGAATAATCATCTCGAGTAAATCCATAATTCTACTAAGAGATTTAACCTGCATTAAATACTCAGTTATCCGGTTACCATTTATTGGACTCAGATATAAAGCATACTAACCTCTACAATGTCATTGAGTGGGTTTTGAGTCATGGTTGAATCGGACACAAATAAGCTGCTTTCTATCTCCGTCCTCTGATTAGCCACGGGGTCTCCGGTAACTTGAAGAGGAAGTGTTATGATCTTGGTTCGTATATCATTTGGTAAATACGTCACTGGTTCTAATGACACTATAGGTAAGTTAGTCAATAATCACACTAGAGAATGAGAAAAAGTGATTATACAACGGCTTTCTTGTTATCTTAGCCCGATTACGCGGGACTCAGTACGTTACTAGAGAACGTTCAGATTTTTTTCAGTGTAATAATGTCACATTTATTTCCTTTTTTTTTACAAAACTTTCTAATTTTTCTTTGTGCTACATAGATGGCGAACATACACGTGTAAAAGCTGTGGTACACTCTACTGTTGGACAATTATCAGCTTTTACAAAAGTACGTGCATCATGTATTGGATGTAGAACATTATTACCTGCTGATAAAACAGGTGAGAGGGAGATTATATTGAATACGTAAAGGTTTTTGTGTATCATCTAATATTCCATTGTTTTCCTTTCTAACAACATTGTGCTTGGCAACTAAACAAGTATTCACATTCGATGGAAAGGTAACATATTAAGTAAAAAAACTCCATTATTGTTTAGATAGATAGTTGGTAGTCAGTCAGTTCAAGGTGATGGTGGAATATGTTCCTGAACAAGATGACCTCAGCTGCTGTTAAAGGTATGACGACGGTTGCCACTTCCCGGCTGCCTATATCATGTTACCTCTTAATTGTGGTCTAAGTGACCAAGGAGTATGATCGGAGAGCCGATGTGACAACTACTTGACTTCGGTCACACAGCCTTTTTCTCGAATGTTTTCGATGTGCTAGCTCCGCTATTCAAAAGGCCTTACCTCCAGAAACAAAATTCCGTGGGGTATGGTGAGACGTGACAATTATATGGTCGACCTTTCCTTATCCTTTCCTTCCGTTATGAGAAGGCAACATCGTTCCGGATGCTTGTTATCTGAGGAAATTACCTTACTGTTGTCACACTTCAGTACGGTCAGCAGTAAAACTTCGCCCTCGGACCTTAAGTTGCTGTTTATAGTCTTATAGTTCTCCAACTCACCTATCCGGTATAGTAAGACCTACAAAAACATGTGTTCCAGCCGCTGTATTTCAGTCGTTATCACGATAAGCAAGCCTGACCATCACATCTAGGTAACAGCTAAGGTTGATGGTTAAAGGTAACAAATATGAAACTTCGAACTTGAACTTCATGTTAGTCAGCTGTTTTGTCAGCATAAGATTGCTCACGAAGTTACTGACCCAAATCAACTGATACCTTTCATTCTTGTAGCTTGCAACTAATTACCATCAAACTACCTCAACATTAACTATAACTCTGTAAGAACATGAAGATAACAGCTGCGATGTAGGAAAAAGTGGAGAAAGGAAAGGGGAGGAATAAAATCCCAATCAACTCAAAAATTGTTGTTACTATCTATATTTTTCTTCTTTTACTTCTTTCTCTTCTTCATCAAATCTAGACGCAGCTTTATGTAAATATTGTGAATCACGTGCATCAGAAATTTATCAAAAAGAAATTGTACAATTAAATTTATTAGAGAAAAAATTCACTTCTTTATGGACAGAATGTCAACGTTGTCAACAAAGTATACATGAAGAAGTTATATGTACCAGGTAGATTTATTATGATTAATTTGAGTTATATTCATTACGGTGATATAAACTAGGAATTTAACGATTTCGACAAACTGTCTAGACTAATGATAATGTGCTGACTAATGACTCGTAAATAGAGTTGCTATGCGAAGCTGTTGAATGAAGTTTGATCATGTTAAACAAGTATCAATGATAACAATGAATGATGGATGGTCTTACAATATTGCGAATTGACTGAAGTTACACATTTAAACTTAGTGATCTGGAGATTCTAAATCTGATTCCTATTGAGGTCATCTAATGCATAGTTTTGTAAAAAAACGTACATTTGACGAAACGGTTGTAAAGGGCTTCCTAGTTTTCAATGTTTCTTTAACTGCAGTTAGTGAGTTTCAAATATTGATGTTAATTTAGTCTTGAATATGTTTGATTTCGTGATCAGTCCGAGAGGAAGAGGCTACTGCACACAGTTTAACATTTTTATTCTTTTCTTTGTATCTATTAAACGACTTCTGTTAGCTTATTGTTTCGTTGATTCGACGCTTCATCATCATTTGTATTTGTACATTGACCGCATACACTTTGATATACCTCTCAAAAATTAGATGCTGAATGTAGTATTCTATCTTATCTTAAACTTGCAAGCTGCATTTATCTTAGTATTTCCATGTTACGATTGTTAGGAAATGCATTAGCTGTATATACCGTCATCTATCTTCCAGTATTCACTACCAATCAATATTCAAATAGCTTAGTCGTTTCTTACTTATCTATTTCTGCCTCCATTCAAATATATCGTTCTTTATTACCGTTTTCTTTTTCATTGTCTTCATTGTACTCTATGTCGAAAACTACTGACTGAAATGTCATCTGGTTCTATCGGCATGTCAAACATCACATTCAAAACTTTCATTTCAGTGATTCGCGTTACCCGTGAATTCAAATTTCGTTAAAAAGAAATTCCGATGAGCTAACTATGATATCTTTCAGTTTGATGTTTTCTTTCTTCTGTTATGTTATTCACTTATCAAGCGTAGATTTGATTTAATTCATATATCAGTTATATGAAGAGTAGGGCTAATAACCAAACTGATTAACTACTTAAATTAATCTAGGCAACCAAGCTATATTCGTTCTATTGATGGGAAATCGAATGGTTCAACTAACATTACACATTCAACCGTCCCATGAAAGTATCATTTGTACTCAGTGTAAACCATCTCCTTATCTCATGTTGCATATCCCTCCCACTATCTCTAAAATTAATTGTGACGAACGCTACTCACAAGATTATTAATAAGTGGTATGTAGAGGAACGTTAAATGAAAGTTACTACAGTCGACTATCGAAGAAAAGAATCCCAGGTGGTCACAAAGCACAGCATGTACAGAATACTTTGAATACCAAATGAGAAGCGAGAGAAAGCAGCCTAGAGTCAAATTGTCTTAGTGTCATCTATTACTGACGATACTTTCGGATTGAACAGTTGTTTAGCTGTCTTGGCTATTTACGATATAGCCCAAAAGTTGTGTAGGTGATGATTGCGTTGCTGCAAGATATCAATCATCAATTTACATTTTGTGTATTATTTCAATGTAAGTTAATTCTAGGCTGTTTTCTCTTGCTTCTCTTCTGGTCTTCATAATATTCCGTATATAGCATTCTTTTTAACCTCCTAACAATTTTATCTTCGGCTATCGATTATATCAACTTTAACATGACACTTCTACATACTACTTACAAGCAATCTTATGAGTAGCATCCAATCAAATTTTCAGTTTAGGGGTTGTGCGGATTGTCACATTTTTTATTGGGATCATGAACCGATTGATGTTAGACCACCATTGAAAACCTGGAAGCACTGGACGGCCGTTTTGTCCTATTGTGGGACTCCTCAGCAATGTGCATCCACGATCCCGCTCGTGGGATTCGAACCCAGGGCCTTCAGTCTCGCGCGTGAACGCTTAACCTAGTGGACCACTGACCCGGCATCCAACGGTGTTAATGTCTAACCTCATCCAATCCACTGATAATTACAATGTGCTCACTAGTGACTAGCTTCGTGAGAACATTCTGGGAGTTCTGGTGAAAAGTTGTAACCAGTGGAGCTAATCCGTGTCGGGTAGAAACAGGTGTCTACCTCAGCACAATGGAAGATGGTCGCGCAACTTCGTGGACTGGTTAAAGTTAGACGTTAACACCGTTGGATGCTGGCCGGTTCAGTGTGCTATGTCCCGACAAGAATAATGAATGGTAATTTTGGGATCCATTTATCGACAAATACTATGAGTATATTTTTATCGTATAATTGTTAAATAACTAAACTATATATATTCATGTTCCTCTTATTATAAGCTTTATTTTGACTTATGAACCGTTATTATACGTCTTACCATTCTTGAATTATGCCCTGCTTATTAGTCACTGCCTCCCACATTCACAGCCACATTTGGCCAAATTTTGTACTGATGTCATTTTCTCTTTTATGCTACGTTGTGGTCTATTTGATTGGTATATAAACTCAGTATGTTTGTAATATAAGATTCATATTCCAGAGGCTGAGATTGACGTTCTAGATTTAACTGACTGGGCTAGGTAGAAAGCAGGGCCAATCAGAACTCTAGGCCGCTTGCACGTGTTTTACGCGTCCTTAGTCCGATCGAAATTCACTGCCCTCTTATTGGCGGCCCTCAATATATAACACAATGGTGTAAAGTTTAAGCGTTCGCGCGTGAGACTGAAGGCCCTGGACTTAAATTCCGCGAGCGAGATCGTGGATGCACACTGCTGAGCAAGTCCCGCAATAGGACGAAACGGCCGTCCACTGATAATTACAATGTGCTCACTAGTGACTAGCTTCGTGAGAACATTCTGGGAGTTCTGGTGAAAAGTTGTAACCAGTGGAGCTAATCCGTGTCGGGTAGAAACAGGTGTCTACCTCAGCACAATGGAAGATGGTCGCGCAACTTCGTGGACTGGTTAAAGTTAGACGTTAACACCGTTGGATGCTGGCCGGTTCAGTGTGCTATGTCCCGACAAGAATAATGAATGGTAATTTTGGGATCCATTTATCGACAAATACTATGAGTATATTTTTATCGTATAATTGTTAAATAACTAAACTATATATATTCATGTTCCTCTTATTATAAGCTTTATTTTGACTTATGAACCGTTATTATACGTCTTACCATTCTTGAATTATGCCCTGCTTATTAGTCACTGCCTCCCACATTCACAGCCACATTTGGCCAAATTTTGTACTGATGTCATTTTCTCTTTTATGCTACGTTGTGGTCTATTTGATTGGTATATAAACTCAGTATGTTTGTAATATAAGATTCATATTCCAGAGGCTGAGATTGACGTTCTAGATTTAACTGACTGGGCTAGGTAGAAAGCAGGGCCAATCAGAACTCTAGGCCGCTTGCACGTGTTTTACGCGTCCTTAGTCCGATCGAAATTCACTGCCCTCTTATTGGCGGCCCTCAATATATAACACAATGGTGTAAAGTTTAAGCGTTCGCGCGTGAGACTGAAGGCCCTGGACTTAAATTCCGCGAGCGAGATCGTGGATGCACACTGCTGAGCAAGTCCCGCAATAGGACGAAACGGCCGTCCAGTGCTTCCAGGTTTTCAACAGTGATCTAACATCAATCAATTCATGATCTCAATCAAGTTAATTTCCTAACATTTATAATGTTTGTGTTTTTTTTTAATACTAATGTTAAGCTTATTTCTGTGTATATATTTCAGTCGAGATTGTCCAATTTTTTATATGCGAATGAAATCCCGTAAAGATGTCGATGAAGCATATAAAACAATTCAACGTTTTGGTAATCCTAATTGGTAAATCAAAAAGAAAAAAGAGTCACATTCATTAAACTGAACTGAACTGAACTGAACTGAACTAGTCTAATGTTATTGTAAAGAGAGAAAACAAAACAAAAACAAGGAAACAATAACAATAATTCAACCATATCATTTTACCAATAACTAGAATACATTTTCTCTCAGGTTTGTTTGTTGTTTTGTTTTGGTTTTTAAGTTGACTCTTATTCCAGAGCTCAAATCTTCTTCTTATTATTATAAATTTTTTGCCCTAAAGATTTTTTTATTTTTATTATGAAAAGTGCATTTTCAAAATTATTGTACTTTATATTGAATTGTTTAATACAATTTTTTTTGTTTTGTTTATTATAGTGTAATTTATATTGATGAATATAGTTAAAGTTGGAACAATTAGGCGGCAAAACTATAATTTATGAATAAATCAATCTGAATTTTGACATGAAATTCACTTAACCATTTGGTGCTTTCAAATGCCCTGGTATGGCCGAGAGTGGGGAGAGTTCGCTTTCCCTCTCCGAATGCTCTCACATGGCCTTGAGTATATAGCTTCAGCCAGGGAAGTCCTACTCACTGCCTTCTCGTGGCAGGGGTGTTGTTTACGAGAATGAGAGAACGAAAAGCGAATGTCCGGTGCTTTAACCAGATCCTAAATCAATGATGCACATGGGATACAGCATCCTGAGAGAAGAAATGACGTATGAACCGTTCGTTGGTCACCGGCTAGCTACCATGGGACTGAATCTCCTCACGATGTTCCACTGCCTTGTGGATCAGACCTTTAGATTAAAGGCTCGGAGTGTGGCCCTGTGAGAAAACCAGCTGATTTGGTTTGGGCACCCAGGCATTATCACAGCCCTCACACATATCAAATAAGATTTGTGTGGCGAATATATATTTAGTGCGTCCTTGTACCAATATCTATGTGTTAAAATAAATAAACAATCATTTGGTTAAATTAGAATCTTGGCATTATAGCTGATGTCAGTTGTGTAGTTAAAACCCCTAAATCCTAATTCCTAGCATTAACCATTAACTGTAAATCATAATTTGAATTCCTCACATTTGGTATTAGTTATCACATGGATATTCTCAAAGTCAGTCTAGCGTCGCTCAAAGGTAGTTCCACCCACGTAGGCTATTCGACCTAATAAACTTTCTATTTTTTAATAGTTACTAGTGAATAAATAATGAGTAGAGGATATTCGTAGGTTACTAGTATTCGATCATTGCTCGTATATTCTCGGACCATCGAGTAAGTAATACAGTTGTTAGGAGACGGGTAGTAGGTAGGAATGGCAAATCAATTGATGAAATAGTGTAACTTAATCAGTTGAGATGACTGGGACATGTGTTACGTATGCCCAACCACCGACTGCCCCGACAAGCGATGTTTTATGGTGTAGGAGTAGGTTGGAAGAAAACTAGAGGCAGCCAGACCAAAACTTGTCACAAATCCATGAAGTCACTGCCAAGTGGAATGAGCCATGTTGGTAGGTATAGACTACCTGATTGGGGTCTGCGAGACGATAGCAACCGATGGTCAGAGACATTGAATATGACATGGTTCTAAATCGTTTGCAATGATATAGGTGCATCGACTCTTTTTGTTCTTCTGAATTCTTCATGTCCCTTTCTTTTTTTCTCTTTCCAAATTTATTTCACTTTATAATACTACTTGAATAACATCTTCAAACCCTAATGATTCCGATCACTGCTTATACTTTCACTATCTCTACCACTATGGTATTTGAATCGACAACTGCATCTCTGTTCTAATGTGGTATGGCAACTTGAACTAATGTCCGTGCTTACGAAATTCTACGTTGTTACTGACTGAATAGATAATAATGGGATAACAGAATTTGTTATTGTTTATGATAAACATATAAGATTCTGATTGGAAAATAAATGAAATATAATCCATATAAGGGTCAAAGTGAGCTAATCTACTAGTGGATGTTTAATGCTGCTATTGCTGGATTCATTTATCGATCACAGTACAAATTTGTACGTTTAAAATGTCACTCATGAGGTTCATGTATTGAAAGGATCTACATCAAAAATCATGTTTGGACTTCAGAAAACATTAAACAGGCGACCTAAAAGTGTAATATAAGTCTAGGTGTTGCTTACATTTGTAAATGTTTTTTTAGCACAACTTAATATGAGGATTCATACTGTGCTGTGTTGATTATGCAGTTGAGTGTCGATCTGTTTCCATAATCTACAACTGGTATCCTGGATCTAAGCAACAAACTTTCTAATTTTCTATTTGTTTAAAGTGAGATCGTTTTATAAAGCACGTTTAAATGAGTGGGTTCAATAAGTTATCTAAAGCCTCTCAACCTTATTGTTCATTCTAATCACTCACTACCAAGAAATCAGCGTCTTTGCTGTCTCCTAGGTACATTATGACGAGGTAAAAAAACATGTAACTTGGGATCCAGTTCGTAACATTTTGAAATCCTAAATGCTTCACTTCAAAATAAACATTATTTTACATACAATCACACAATTGTCCTTAATACTTAAATCAATCAATTTAAAATGAATTCCTAATTATCAATAATGCTTGTTCTTGTGTGAGTTCTTTTTGTCGATGTGAACTACTTTAAAAGGATTAAGAAGATTTATGTACTACCATAAATATTGTCGAATAGTTTTCAGAAAACTTTTCACAAATTTACTGTATAAATTTAAGGAACTTTGTTGTTGATATGCTACTACATCTCAGCAAATCGGCCCCTTGTTAGGGTTTGAAGAGAGAGAGAGCTATCACGGGTTCATGTAGTTTGAGAACGAGATCGAGGATTCGGTGACCAATGTCCAGTAAGCTATCTAATGACGCGTCCCAGCCCCAGCTAACTAGAGGAAGAAGTCCAGGCTTGAAATGAGAAGTATATTCTGCAACAACCAGAAAATGAGCGAACTTTTTACAAGACAATTTCAAAACCTATATATACAATTATATATTTATCGATATTGTCCAAACATATTTCGTCCAAGTCATATATCAAGCGCTCTTTGTTTTATATTTCTCATCTTAATTACATCTAATGTTTTAGGACTGCCCTCACTTGGAATCCTCAAGGCCAGAGAAAAACAGAACGATCAAAGAACACATCACGCCAAGAAATGGAGATAGACATGAGAAGAATGAACAACAATTGAATAGAATTAGAAATGAAGGCCCAGGACAGAAAGGGGGTTGAAGAATGCTGATCGGCAGCCTATGCTCCCTTTGGAGTAACAGGCGTAAGTAAATACGTTTTTGGGCTAATAATCGCAGTTTTCATTGATTCATGAAACATTTGTTTAAGTCCTATCAATTACATCATATCCGTACCTTGACCAGTCGATACGAATGATGTAATTGAGAGTATCAGGAAAACAATGATGTGATAAACTTTCCTATTAAATAAGTTATGAGTGAGGTAGTAAACTGTTGATTATATATTAGAATTACTGAATTACTTTACACTCTAACATGTTATCTACTAGGCTAATTGATGTAAATCATTATAATTTCATTTTTCAATATCAACAAACGAATAATATAAAGCTATACGAATATGAAGAAAGGCATGTTGAGATTGCTTTCTCTGATTAATGTAACTCCTTGTCACAATTTATCTTCTTAATAATCAATCCTTAACATACAGGAATGGAATTTGTTCCATAGATATCACATTCCATCGAATGATATAAAGCTGATGAAAAGATGAAGGTCTTGAATGTAACAGACATAATTACTCTACAATACACGTTTAGGAAAATCTGTAAAAAACTATGAAGAAGAATTCATAAAATCACTGAAAGTCAAGTTAATTTACATCATGAACAGATATTCCTAAGGTCACTTATTCAACGGATCCTCATTTTTCACATATATTAATCTTTTAATGTCACCTCTTGAAGTATATTGATTATGTAATGTTTATGTAGATTATACTGAGAGGAAATGGTCACTCTATCCCTTCTAGTTATCAGTAGTTATCCAGTCGATGCCAGTTCATGATAAGAATTGATATTTATGTTATATTTGTCTAATCCTTAGTGTTAATCGGATTATTTGGATCAAGTTACAATAGAGCCGCTAGTTCAAATGACTTGACAATACGTGTTGTAATTTGTGATATTCATTGTTTGGAGGTAATCCGTAAGAATCCGTAAACCAAGATTTGATACTAGTTACCACATGCCAGCATATATACCTGTAATATTGACGGAATTAACTCCGCCTGTAGCTCTTCTCGAGTTACTGCCGGTCCCAAGCCCGGGTAAAGGAGGAGGGTTGGGCATGGAGTTAGCGTCTCCATCCCGTAGAAAACTAACTCGCTAAAAAAACGCTAACCATAAAAGCCACTCAAACCATTTAATTTCTGCCCTGGGATTTAGAAGGTCTTCATTTAGAAGAAATATGACGCTTCATGGTGAAAGCCGAGTTCCTTCGGAAACCATGAGGCCAATGCCCCTTCTAACAACCAGAGCAATAATTTTTATAGGTACATGGAACGGCCGGACAATGTGGGAGACCGGGAAGACTAGTCAAATAGCAACGTAAATGAGGAGATACAACTTGGCAGTACTAAAAATCAGCGAAACACATTGGACCCAAGCTGTACAACAAAGGCTAGATACGGGAGAGATGCTGCTATACTCCGGTCACGAAGAGGAAAATGCTCCACACACTCAGGGAGTTGCTCTAATGCTGTCCAAAGTAGCACGAAATGCACTTGTAGGATGGGAATCTCACGGATCCAGAATCATCGAAGCATCATTCAAAACAAAGAAGAAGGGGATCACAATGAGCATTATCCAATGTTATGCACTCGCCAATGATAGCAACGACGACGTATTGCAAATCGATCGGTAGAATTTAATGAACACTAAGAATTTAACAAAGATAATATTAATCAGTACTCAATATCCAACCAACTGTTAACATCTCAACCATACTGGCAGCTAGTCTTGGAGTGACTCACTTAGAAACTAAGTGTCAGTAGGAAAAGTCAGTTTCTTTAAGATTAATGGCAACTAGCATAAGACATAGATTCAGTGTTTCCTTCCAACAACCGAAACTGTACATCAATCTTCAAATAATGGAATAATCACTGAAGATTTTAAGAAAAATAATCTTACCTGAATAACATTATAAGCTTTAATCAATAATTCAAAGCCTAATTCTTCTTCTAGATCAGCTCTCATTTGTTCTAAACGAAGAAATTGTGTATCACCTAATTGATTGTTGTTAACTGTTGGTTTTATGATACTGTTGTTGTGTAATATATTATTATGGTAATCATTATCTTCATTCTTTTGATAGATTTTATTCATTTTTCCTTTATGTAAGTTTATGAATGAATTATCACTGAAACTATCAGTATCACTGGAATCATCCAAAACACTGTCAGTATCATTGTCGTCATCACTAAGGCTTTCAT